TGGGAGAGAAAATGAAGCACATTTCCACAGTAGTTCCGTCTACTATCAGCGCAGCGCTTAAATGACCACGCGTTGCATGAAGGACACGAAAAGCGTACATTTTACCCAAGCCTGAACAGTTTGGGCAGACCGACTGCATCATTAGTTCCCAGATAGCGTTGGCCTCGCGCTGCCCGGCAGACCTCCCTGGGTCCTGCCCCGCGGTGCTCCCTGCTCCCCGAGGCCGCGGTGGGATGCCGGGGTGCACGGGGGTGAGTCCCACCACGCCGGCAGCCAGGGCTGTGCGGGACCCTCCCGACGGCTCTCCTTCGCCAAACCCGGCCCAAAACTGTTCGCTTTCTCCCCAAATTGCTTGCGCTTGCTCGCAGCCTGGCCAGACCCCCTTGGCCTTCCCGGGAGCTGCCGCCGCGTAGAGCCCCACGGCTGCTGGACGTGGGGCCCGGTGGGCGACCCGCGACGGTTTTCCGTCCGGGTTGGGGGGAGGCAGGAGCCAAAGGACAATGGCGAGCTGCGTTCCTGTGACCGTAACGAGACCCCGAGGCCGGCCGGACCCCCGCCTGCAGCGGTGGAGGCGGCAAGGAGAGCGTGAGGGCCAGGGGAGAGCCATGCTGCGCCCCGTGTCATTTCTCCTGCGTGACAGGGGACGTGCTTTGTTCTTTTTCCCAACACACACGGCACGAACGGAATGGAAGCGAGCGCGGGGTCCCTCGGGAGAAGGCAGGGACACGGAGCGCTGGGGAAGGGCGCGCTCAGAGCCTGCTTTGTGCGTACAGCCCGCGTGTGCACCACGCTCCAAACGGGGCCGGCGTTTGACTCACTGTGAGTAATAGGAATGTTTTAAACAGAGGAAAGAATACTAATTCCCTTGAAAATACAGATAGGTCTACATTTGGCTCAACCGTACAAGGCCAGTAATTTTCCACGGTGTACTGCCAAATAACTGAATGTGACATTCAAGTAGTGCGTGTGTAGGTGTTCCTCAGGAGAAAATACAGTTCTAACAAGGACCGTTTTCCAAAAGAGAAGACTAAAGGTTGGGTATCTAAATATGACTTTACAGCATCTAAGTAAACAGCTAAATTTCCAGAAATGCCAAGCTTCCTTTGAGGCTCCACAGGTGGTGCTGACAGCCAATACTTCTGAAAATCTAGCTGCTTATTTGCAGCCTAAAGCACTTTTGAAACCAGTAGCCCACATGGTTAATAGAGCTCATAACAAAGGGCGACATTGTTGGATTAAAAGCCCTCTCTAACTAATGACAGGTTGCAGGCTTTCCAGGTGACATGAGAAACTGCATGGGTTAGAAACACTTTACATGAAGAAGTTTCTGCTTTACTTTTGGTAGAACAACAGGAGTTTTGGAAACTGTCATTTTCTAAGTAACCCACACGTGGCTTGCTAAGGGACAGCTGTTGCTAAGTGCTCGTTCAAAGCCACAGAGGGAACCAGTGCTAGAAACTGGAATTAGGACTCGGCAGCTCCTGCCCACAGCCTCGTGGAACTGGATCACGTACAGTTTACATTCAGCTGATTTTTATTTAGTAGTGAAGATGAGGGAAGAATTTAGGTTAGTGAAGTAATCTCAGTATAATAGATAAACATGACTAGATTTCTGTCCTTTTGAATACCACTTCTTATTCATCATCATAAGCACCCTTACAAATAAATTTGCTTTCCAAAAGCTGCAGGTTTTTTTTCAAATATCTTTTATATCAGTATCATGCACTGACAACAAATTCTAGGTATAAGCAGAATTTGACCTGTAATAGTGACGGCACAGGGAAGGCAGGGAAAATCCTAGAACCTTTTCAAGTCTTTTAGGAAAGGTGTCCCCCAAGGAAAGGTGTTACGGGTTTAATGGGCGTATTGATGCACAGCTGCACAAGGAGCAGAGAGTGATTAAATTTTGGGCCTCCCAGTTCACCGCAGAGTACCTCCTGTATCTCCCCTTTCCATGCCAGTGTACAGTTTGTGACTTTTTCCTGGATCGTGTTTGTATTAATCAAGGTGCAATAATGGCACATCCATGGGAAAGGAGTACTAGGCGCATAAATTGCCACACATGGACATTAGAATAAATCCATTAATATTAATGCAAATATCGGGCTCTTTAGAAGTATGTGGGCCCCAGAAAACAACCACAAGCAGAGCGTGCCTTTTGCTGTAGAGCAGGTTCACCCTGTCATCCTTCCACACAGAAAACTCTCCCAACAAGACAGCAAGTATAGCAAAATCAGGCTTCTCTGTTTTTAAATTATTACCATGGTAACCTGAAACCCCTTTGTACTTCATAAATTCTGCCTCTCTCTAGAGCAGCTGAAATTTCAAGCAAGACCACTTCGCAATGCTTTGTGAGCACAGAAGCAGCTCACACAGTTTAAAGATGACATAGAGGAAATTTTCGGAAGACTAAGGAGCTGGACCCCAGACCAGTCCCCTCGTTTAGAAAAACCATCTCCCTTTGGACTCCTGCGTCTCCTCAGTCGAAAGGGAGATTGGCTGTTCTCACGAGCGCGGCCCTGACGTGGCACACGCAGCCATCAGCCAGGCTCCTGGGGGCTCTGGAGGCATCACCTGCCTCAAGGAAGTTTGTGGGAATTCTGCTGCGCCGATGCAGCTCCACGTGGCCCCGGGGGTGACGTGCAGGCGGCTCCGACGCAGTGACACAGCGACACAGAGATGCAGCGACACAGCGATGCAGTGACACAGCGACACAGCGATGCAGTGACACAGTGATGCAGTGACACAGCAATGCAGCGGCTCAGTGACGCAGCGATGCAGCGACGCAGCAATGCAGAGACACGGTGATGCAGTGACACAGTGATGCAGCGATGCAGCAATGCAGAGACACAGCAATGCAGTGATGCAGTGGCACAGTGATGCAGCGACAGCGATGCAGCGACACAGTGATGCAGCGATGCAGTGATGCAGCCACACAGCGACACAGTGACTCAGTGACGCAGCGATGCAGTGACACAGCAATGCAGCGACGCAGCGATGCAGCGACGCAGCGATGCAGTGACACAGTGATGCAGTGACACAGCAATGCAGCGACGCAGCGATGCAGTGACACAGTGATGCAGTGACACAGCAATGCAGCGACGCAGCGATGCAGTGACACAGCGATGCAGCAATGCAGCGACGCAGCAATGCAGAGACACAGCAATGCAGCGATGCAGTGACACAGTGATGCAGCGACAGAGATGCAGTGACACAATGACACAGCGATGCAGCGATGCAGTGACACAGCGACGCAGCAATACTGCAGAGCAGTGAGCACCCTTCCCTGCCCGCCGCCGCAGAGGAGCAGGCAGCGGTGGGATGCTCGGGTTCAGCACGGAGCCAAACAACGAGGCCTGTTTAGCACAACCCCCCCCCGACCAACACTATTATTCCTTCTAAAATACACAGTAAAAGACACTTTTGTTAAAGTACATGAAATGAGGCTGTATATGAAAAACCCCTACCTAGTAATTACTCATATTGCTACGGTTTTAAACTCCTTTAGCATTATGAAAATCAGTACATAAAAACTTTGCTTGTGTTGAAGGTGAGCTGCGGTACAGAAATAATAATCCAGATGACCTTCCAAGCTGCTGCTTGTCATGAATTATTTTCTTTTGCCTTGGGGAAATTTCTAAATATATATATATTTATATACGTGCAAATAAGAAAATCTTTCAGTTGTAATGTAGCAGCGGTTACATCACTGCCCCTTCCCAAGTGTACAGCACAGCACTGTTCTGAGTACAGCTGCTGAGAAAACCCCGGGAAGTACTTGGGTTTGAAATTAAAGAGCTTGTTTTAATACTTAGCTGTGATACATTTGACTGAGCGTACATGTATTTCATCAGGCGTCTGTGAGTCAGGCGCGTGAGTCACAAAAGGAGCCGCGCTGGGGCTGCTGAAGACAGCCGGCGAGGCCTGTCCCAGCACTTCCAGTGCGGGCGTGCAAAACTCCCATTAATTCCTCTGAGGAGATTTAATTAGTGGGAGGCCGGGACGGAGGACATGCGTGCTGCCCCAGCTGCCCTGGGAAGGGCCCGACCCCGAGCACCTTCTTTGTTTCTCCTCGTTCAAGTCCTTACACCGCACACACACCTTTATGTCATAAATCCCATGGACTCCGGTGTCATCGGGGCTCCAGGTGCGGTTCCGTATGAGCACGGAGAGGAGAACCCAACTCCAAGTAATTAACAAAAACATATAATTGCTACTAATTCAGTTTGACACAAATTACACAGCATTATTAAATTAAGCAAACCATGTTCTTGCATCTGAGCATTAGCAGCATAACTCATTTTCATTCCTTTTTTTAAAATAGCACTTGTAATTAATCCTCTTTGCTTTCCAAACCGATCACATGCAACATTTTGTTTTTACCAAAACACCCACCAAAAAGTGTTCAAGTTCTCTAATTGCAAAGATTCACTTTACACGGCTGTGCAACTTCTTTCTGCTCTGGGTGTTATTTAGGAACAGCCAACTGGAATTTATTGAAATTATATCAAAAAATAAATGATCAAAATTGCTCCCCAGCTGGGTGGGAGACCTCACATGCCAAGTTTCAGCCCACGAGGACTCTGGCACCGGTGCCACGGGGGGGGTGGCTGAGCACCAGGGCGCAGGATGGAAAAGCCGCCCAGCTCCGCAGCGCTGCCAGCGCCGGGGCCGTGGTGCGGGCGAGCTGTCCCCTGCGCACGACGGCGCATCCCCGCAGGGGCTGGGTGCTGGCACTGGGTGCTGGGCACTGGGTGCTGGCACAGGGTGCTGGGCGCTGGGCACTGGGTGCTGGCACTGGGTGCTGGGCACTGGGTGCTGGGCGCTGGGCACTGGGTGCTGGCACTGGGTGCTGGGCACTGGGTGCTGGCACAGGGTGCTGGGTGCTGGGTGCTGGGCACTGGGTGCTGGGCACTGGGTGCTGGGCGCTGGGCACTGGGTGCTGGCACTGGGTGCTGGGCACTGGGTGCTGGCACAGGGTGCTGGGTGCTGGGTGCTGGGCACAGGGTGCTGGGCACTGGGTGCTGGGTGCTGGGCACTGGGTGCTGGCACTGGGTGCTGGGCGCTGGGCACTGGGTGCTGGCACTGGGTGCTGGGCACAGGGTGCTGGCACTGGGTGCTGGGTGCTGGGCACTGGGCACTGGGTGCTGGGCACTGGGTGCTGGCACTGGGTGCTGGCACACCTCCACCCCATGCCACGCTCGGTGCCATGCTCAGTGTCCCACTCAGCGCCACCCTCAGTGCTGCGCTTGGTGCCACACTCAGTGCACGCTTGGTGACACACTCAGTGCCACACTCGGTGCCATGCTTGGTGCCACACTCAGTGCCACGCTCAGTGCCACGCTTGGTGCCACACTCGCTGCCACACTGAGTGCCACGCTCAGTGCCACAGTGGGTGCCACGCTCAGTGCCACACTGAGTGCCATGCTCAGTGCCACAGTGAGTGCCACACTCAGTGTCACACTCGGTGCCACACTCGGTGCCACGCTCAGTGCCACACTCGGTGCCACGCTTGGTGCCACGCTCAGCAGGGTTTTGCTGAGCGAGGCCCCGGCCCCTTCCTCCCCGCAGCCGGGCCGTCCCCCTGCCCGCTCCTGCCTGGCGTGGGTGTCCCCGTGTGCCCAGGGCCGGCCTCGCGTCCCGACGGCCCCGCTGGCCCAGCCGCCCCCTTCTCTTCCCGCCTGGCTGGGGAGGGTGCTTTTTTTGGCCTCTGCTTCTGTCATCTGGCATTTAAATGTAACGAGATCTCTCGTTGCTAACATTTATAGCAGCAAAATATTTAAGTTCCAGGGCTTGTAACACATGTTATTAATGTCCCGTTGCCAAACCCGGCTGAAGGCTCCCCAAACCCTTCTCCGCGCTCGCTTCGGGTCCGTGCCAGCAAGCGGACGTCACCCTGGCTGCACGGTGACGGGGGAGCACCGCCGGCACCGGCACACCCCGCGGCAGGGATGGGACCCCGGGCGCCCTCGCGGCTCTGGGAGGGAGAGGAGAAGCCCACTGGCGTTCCCCCCAAATAACGCCTGCCCTCGCAGGGCCTCCCGCACCCGCTGCCACGGGCACCGAGCCCACCGGCACGGCCACATCCCTCTTGAAAAAGCCTAAAGCAACATCAGACGTTACCAAAGAGTCTCTTCTTCCTGCTCCCGATTTATGGTTTGTTACTATAACTGCCAAGCTTTGAAAGGCACTGCCGAGGGCCGAGGGACAGTGGTGGCTCCTGGCCACTGCTCACCAGCTCATCCCGGCTCTGGTTTGGGGTCACAACAAAGCCACAGGTCCTGGACACCCTGGGGGTTGTGAAGAACAAGAAGAGAGGCTTCTGATCCTTCCAGTCACAGGCAGGCGCTTGAGAGGTAAACCTCAAAGGCTCAATCACACAATACAGAAAAAAAAAAACAAACAAACAAACAAACAAAAACCAACCAAACAAAAACCAAACAACATTTTGAAGCCTCCAGATTTTTGAGCCAGCCTCCAGATCTGTCTCCATGCGGTCCGAAGCCCTGGGGTCGAATTGAGCTAGCCCTCATCTCCCAAAGCCATCTTGGCCACCAGCATCCTCTTCTCTCACTCATCTTTTTCAGGACTTCCCACCTCGCCGCGGCTGAGGAATCCCTCAAAGCTCTCCTTGCCTGCACCACCCCTGCAAGGCACGCTCGGTGACAGATTTCAGCCTTCTGCTCGGAGGTCGTAGCCAGGCTCTGTGCTGGAAAACCACCCCGAGTATTTCGGAGCAGCTCTTGACATGTGCTCTTCTGTTCGAAGAGTAGACACAGGAAAGAGAAGTGGGCTGCACTCGCCAAATTTAGACCTCGGAGTGAGAGGAGGTATTGGAGGCGAGGGCTTGGCCCACCCTTTTACAACATCTGCCAAGCAGAGGCCACGATTCAAATGCCTCCGAAGCAGACGGCATGAGGTCGGAGCAGCAAAGGATAGGTCCTTAGCAGCTCCTCTGAAGGAAAGGCTAAAAGGGGTGGCAGTCTCACTGTGAAGATAGTTCTCATAAATCAATTCTCATAAAGCCAGGCACCATTTTTATTCTCCTCTCCAACAGCTGATTAAGTAGCTAGTGAAGGGAAGACGTGTAATTCATCGTCTGGCTCAGGACAAGGAACCAAAGTCTGCTCGCTGTGATGCTTCCGAACAGCTGGAAAGGGAAGGAGGGAGAATGTCCATTAATATTGGATGTGACAGAAATAACCCGGCGATTTATCAGCGGGCGGACAGCCTAACGCAGTTGAGGGCAGCGTGTGCTGTGAGATACCGTTATATTTTAAATAAAGCACTTTGGAAGGTCCCAGATTTGCTCAGATCTCCTGTGACCGGCACGGACGGGACTGCAGCCTGCCTTATGTCCCCCTCTCTTGGACGAGCTCAGAGTGACCCAGCTGGCCACTGCTCTGCCGGGTCCTTTCTGGGGAGCACCACTCTTGCCTGCGTGGTAACACATGGCTGAAAGCTACCGCGGGCCGTCACAGAGCGCCGCTGCCGCAGCTCAGCCACGAACAGGGCTTGGGCCGGCTGGGCGAAGGGGACAGGCAGCCAGCGTGATGTAAGAAATAAAGCCAGGTCACTGATGTAAAAAGGATGCTCTGCTCCACTGGCCTGGACGTGATTTACTTGGTTTAGGCTTCCTTTTGCAAAGCACTAAGGAAACTTTATAGATTTGGTGATAATCTGAGACTCATCTGGATGACAGAATTGCAACTGCTGGGCAAATAAAGGAAGTGCTTTCATCATTTAGCAAAGCGATAGGTATATAAAAAACCAAAAAAACAGCTACACAGAAAATATACTACATGCCAGCCCGACTCCCTTGTCACATTATAACCCTGCGTAATTGGATATCTGAGAATTAGAGGAGTTAACAGCTCTTATATAAATTTTCCTCAAGTTGTGAGTGCTGAAATCAGGCTCCTCTATGGATCGACAGGTAGGCTGTCTGCCCCGACATACTTAATTAAATTGCCTTTGTCCCATTCCCTGAGATGAGCAATGAGGCAGCAGAGCTGTGCCAGGCGTCGGGCTGAGCTGGCGGGAGGGCGGCGGGGAGCACCTTAAACACGGGGCACGGCCAGCGCGCATCGCCTTGCTGGGCGCCCTGCACCGGGCTGCTGCCGCTGGCTCCCCTCCTCCATGGAGAAGACGCCGGAGCCACCGCTCTGCAAGCGCAGCAGTGCTGGCACTCCAAAGCACGAGCTCCTGCCCCGAGCCCTGGCAGTGGCCTGAGCGTGGGAAGGCTGCGTGTGTGCAGGCTGGGCTTCCTCCGCAGGCCCCCAAGCGTGGCCGCATGCAGGTGCTGTGCGCCCAGCACCATCGCACCACATGGGGTTTTGTTCCCTGCCGGGTGTCACCCGCGGGCTGGGAACGGGGTAGGAAGCAAGTGTCAGCTGTGATCCTGCTTGGCTGCCGGGAAAGCACCCGCCTGCTCTTGGGCGACCGGTCCTGGGGTACTGAGGGACCACGAGCGGTCCTCAAAGCGCCGTCGATGCCGAAGGTGACGTGCCTCTCCGAGGCACCTCCGGCACACCGCCCGTCCCCTCGCTGCTCAGCTCCCCAGCCCCCTGCCCGCCCCAACCCCCTGCCTGCCCCAACCCCAATCCCGACCCCTGCCCAGTGCACCCAGTCCCTCATGCCTCGGCCAGGCCAGGCCCAGAGCTCGGCACTGGAAAGTTCCCACCAGCCTTGGTTTTAGCTCTGCTTGAGGAGCTTTCCTCCAGGCTGCCTGTACAACTGCCACCCCTATGGCCCCCTCCCCTGCTACCAAAAAACCCCACCACTCACTCAAACCCAGGACAACAACCAAGGTGGTCTGAGCTGTTCGTGAATGACCCTCCTTCATGTTTACACAAATCGAGCTCCAGTCCACCTAATTTTGTCTTTTGGGTCCAGCTCTGCTGTCCGGCTCTCCTTCCATTTCACAGCCCTGGTCGGACAAACCTGGCTTTGACCCTGCGGTGAAACGCTCAGATGCCGGTTGCTGCACGCACCCTCCTCTGGTGTTTGGGCCGTGGTACTTCTGAATTTGGCTAGCGCAGGGAAGCAGGGCAGAACAGGGCCAGTGGAGGGGAAAGGAGGCCGGTGCTGCTCTGGCTGCCTGCAAGAACTGCACCAAGCCGGAGCCCAGGGGCGAGCAACTGTCCCTGGCTGGGGAGGGCTGGGACGAGAGACACCAACCGCGGGAAAGGGAATAAAAGGGAAGTGCTCTCCTGGATGGGGGCTGCTAGTTTAGCTTTAACTTTGTAGCCATTTAATTAAAAAATCTATTCTAATAAAGGCAGAAGAAAATGAGTGCAATTTCTCAGAACATGAAGCTACTGAAATCAGATCTGCGACATTCCTGTGTAAGAGCCTTTTGCTGTGCTGCACCTTACGCAGTGACAGCAAAACCGAGTAACCCTCCTTTGGGGTGGCCAACCCCCCGAGTGGGTGCGCATCGTGTAGGCACGTGTGGCCGCAGCCCCCATGTTCAGAGGAGCCCCCGAGCCCGGCCAGGCGCGAGCTGCCCGCGCTGTCCCACGCACTGCCCGGGGTCCGGCCCAGACCCCCACGGGTTGCAGACAAAGCGGCCGCCCCGCACCGCGGCTGCCGCCTTGGTGCCTTCTGCTGCCCCGTGGATCCCCAGCTCAACGCTCTGCTCCTCGGGGGGAGAGCCACAGAAGGATCTCCTGCGGGGAGAATAAAGCATTAACTTCACAGCAAGGCAGTGCAGCTCCGAATCGGTGTCCTGCCCTCGGGGGCACAAGCCCTGGGGAGCAGCGGCAGCTCCCCGGGGACATCTCTGCTGGCACACCCCTGACGCGGCACCGGGGCAGCGCAGCCCGGCCGCCCGCTTTGCCCTGAGTTCTGAGCAGCCGGGAGGGTCCGGCACGCCGCTGTCCCTGCCAGCATCAATCACCCCAGCTATTCTTGTGCCTCGCTTGAACTCCTGAATAATTGGAAAAAAAGCAGTTTCTTTTAGCACGGGTATGTTTCCCAGCCCATCGCCAGGGGTGGCCCAGCACCCTCCCCACAGCGTTTCCGTCGAGCTCCAGCTCGCTTGCGGTGCCGGGCCAGCAGCGCTGCTGGCACAGCCGGGGTGACCTACACCTTCAGTCTGAGCACATCGATTTTTGAATTAATTTTTGATAAAGGCTCGGGATACACGGCTCAGAGTCAACTGCTAGTGCTGTCTTAAAGGCTTCTATTTTTATCGCCTTGATAAAATAATTACTGCTAGAGCTGGAGGTGAGCGCAGGAATGTAAATATTTATTATAGGGTCTGGGTGCAGATATGGAGATGCTCTGCCAGCTCGGGTGGGGACTGACATTTTGCCAGCACGCCTGCCTGGCCTGCTGGGTCTGCTGGCTAGCACATACATAATTACACCAGGAGCTGGACTTGGTTTTACGGGAGGAGCTTGTACAGCATCCGCGGCACAAACAAGGCTTTCAGAGCAGCGGCTGGTACGGTGCAAAGGCACCGTGGCACGGAGGGGCCCCGAGGCCATTCCAGTAAGCCTCATTGCAACAGTGGGGCAAGTAATTAATAAGTGAAGTGGGTGAGGAGCAGGGGGAGAGGACGGAGCGCAGCGCTCCGGTCCTGGCTCTGCCAAAGCCCCGAGCCGCCCAGCCGGACTCGCGGGCTGGGGCGAGGGACCCATCGCCCTCCCTCCGGCTCGTCCACGCTGCTCCTCCCGCCCGGCGGCACCGTGAAAGGCAGAAGCGCCGACACTGTCCGTTTTTATCCCTTATGATTTGTCCCATTTCAGTCAGTTCAGCTCATGATCAGCTGCACAGTGCCAGGGAGGACAGCCTGCTCCTGCTCGGGATCCAGAAAGAACCGAACGGCTCCGCTTTCCTCACCTTTATGCTGTGTTTGCTCAGGTGGTTCTCAACAGATCGGCTACAGCGCATTTGTTCTGCCGGCGCTTTTCAGCCCTCTCACCGATTTTGCTGTTTGCTCTCCTGCCCCCACTCAGGCTGCCGTGTTTGACAGCAGCAAGGAGGGTGCCTGACGCCCAGCCCGGCCCAGCCTGTGCTGGCTGCGGAGCACCGCGCTACCCCAGCACCTCTGAGGGATGGGGCTGCGCGGCCCCCTTGCACCCGGAGACCCCGGACACGTGAAAACATGCATGTCACCACGCGTGCTGCAGCCAGGCAGCTGGCGGGGTGGGAGCACACAGTACTGACGGCAGCTTCCCTGTCCCCGGGGCTGCGCACAGCCTGGGGGTCACGGGCCACGAACGTGGGGTCCGGGGGCTCCGCGGGTGCAGCCCAGGTCCCCCCGGGGCTGCCCGGCCCGCAGCAGGGAAACGCGACAGGGAGGTGGGTGAGGCGAGGGAAGGGCTACACCGACAAGTGGAGAAACGAGGCAAAATGCTTAAAAATGCAAGCTGCATCGTTCATCATTGTCTCTGTGAAAGTGGTTCGGCGCTGCTGTGCATTTTTAAATAGCTGGCATGGGCTAATAAAGAGCTGGCTGCATTTCAGTGATAAGTGAAGAGTTTATCAAAGACGTGTCCAAAAAACAGGAAAGAAATTCTCTCTCTGTGCCTACCGCATGAAGAAACGTTTCCACACAAGGTGGCACCTGTCTCCTTCCCTTCTCGCCTCGCTCCAGAGGAGCTAAAAGGCACATGAAAATATTCTCTGAAAATTAACTCCTAGCAAAAAGGATGCGTAATTCATTAGTAATTCACTCATTAGCGATGTTTTCTTTCCTAGGCACTAACAATCAGGAACAGAAGCACGTTTTGCAGTGATCAGCACTGGTGTTTAGCAGTGAGGAGCCGGCAGGACGGAGGGGGCTGACAGGAGCTGAGCCAGCTCCCGCGTGCTCTGGGACAGACGGACGTTCACCCGGAGCCTCCCGGGGCACAAGGACGGTCCCGGGAGCCGAGGGGGAGCCCTGCCCAGCCTCCCCCGGCCCCCGGGCACCTCGTGTCCTGCTGCAGATGGGCAGAGAGGCTGATGTGCTCCCAGACCTGACCTGCACTTCAGCTGATGGAGCTTAATGTTTTGAGCTTATAATTTTAAATCACAGTTAAGGTATTTTAGAATCCTTCTCATGCACAGTGCAGACCAGTTATAGCTCTGCTGACGTATGACATGATTTTGCATTCAAATACAGGATGCTGAAGAGGCCTGCCTTCCACTGCATGCTTTTGCTTTTGATCTTGACCTTTCCACACAAAGAAAAGGCAAAATATTATTAAATATTAGAAATACAGTGTAGCTAGAAATAGCCTCTTGTATCATGCAGCGAGACGGTGACACCTTTGTGGCCTGGCTGAGATGCCCGGGCTGTGCTGGGCGAGGTGCTCAGCGCCTACACCAGCGGGATGGCCCGAGTCCGACAGCCCCATGTGCCCCCACTCACCCCTGGGTCCATCCCGGCGCGGTCCCGGAGCTGGTCCCATGGCTGGTCAACTCAGGGAGTTGATTTTCTGCAGCATCTGTCTAGGTTAGCAGACTCCAGAGGACAGCAGAATTATGAAGGAATCACAAAGGTAGTGCCTCTGTCATGTGTTCCGTAAGAAACTAAGGATGCGGCGTTATGTGGCTTTGGCGAGGAGGCTCCAGGTATAGACAGGTGCTTCCCGTCCTCCAGATTCCTCTCAAAAGGCAACAAACACCTCACGGAGGGCTGGGGGCTGGGTGTGCAACCCTGGACATAACCTCAGCACCCAAAAACCCGGGCACGCAAAACCCCGGGCACCCCCAGCCCCAGGCACCCCCAGCCCCAGGCACCCCAAAACCCGGGGCACCCCCAGCCCCAGGCACCCCCAGCCCCAGGCACCCAAAACCCCGGGCACCCCTAGCCCCAGGCACCCCCAGCCCCAGGCACCCAAAACCCCGGGCACCCCCAGCCCCAGGCACCCCCAGCCCCAGGCACCCAAAACCCCGGGCACCCCCAGCCCCAGGCACCCAAAACCCCGGGCACTCCAAGCCCCAGGCACCCAAAACCCCGGGCACCCCCAGCCCCGGGTACCCAAAACCCCGGGCACCCCCAGCCCCAGGCACCCAAAACGCCGGGTACCCCCAGCCCCAGGCACCCAAAACCCCGGGTACCCCCAGCCCCAGGCACACAAAACCCCGGGCACCCCCAGTCCCAGGCACCCCCAGCCCCAGGCACCCAAAACCCTGGGCACCCCGAGCCCCAGGCACCCAAAACCCCGGGCACCCCCAGCCCCAGGCACCCCCAGCCCCAGGCACCCAAAACCCCGGGCACCCCCAGCCCCAGGCACCCAAAACCCCGGGTACCCCCAGCCCCCCTGACTGTGCAAGCCGGCTGCACGGAGCCCGGGGCGTGCTGCGGTGCAGAGCTGCTGCCAGGCTCGTTGCTCCCGTTGCAGGGTACAAAATGCCATTCTTGCCAGCAGCTCCAGTTAATGCCTATCCCGATACTGAGTGGAAGTTAAATTTTCAGTATTTCTCCTAAAGTCAGAGCTGGGTTGGGGTAGGGGTAGACTTTTTAGTGTATCAAAGCACTGTGCTCCAATTTCAGCTTTTTAAAAATGGCCTTTTCTAATATAAAAGGAAATCTATTTCAAAGTAATGAAGGTCCTACGTGGCAATCTAGACATCATGTTCTGGAAATGTCAGCTTGGGATGACGTTAATGAATCATTTTTTGTTTGGTTACTTTGCCGATGTGGAAAGTCAACAAAATGGACTGTCTTTGCTGAAATGTATTGGCTTTTGACGCACCGGCCTTTTACAAGGCGGAGATGGTCTGTGCGAGAGCTGCCCGCGGCCCCGGCCGAGCAGAAGCCACCGAGCCCCCAGCCCCCCCGTGGGCCGTGGCTCCCGCACAGCCGCTGCCCTGCGCTCAGGGTTCCCACTGCAGACCCCCCTCGTGTGCCCGGGGCGAGCCCCAGCCCCACGCGGGGTGTGGGGTGCCCAGCTCGGGCTGTGCCCCCGCGCCACGCCGGCACACACACCAGCCGGGCTAAACAGGAGAAGCCAGAGGGCTGCTAACCACGGGTACCTCTGTGCACGCGGGGAAAAAACCCAAACCCAGTCACATATCGACTCATTCACAAGATTCTTTTTCTGGCTTTTTTGTTTTCTTCTCAAGCCTCTGTTTTACCCACCTGGCACATCACACACTGACTGAGAAAGAGTCAAAGTCACAGAGCTCTCAGCTCAGTGATTATGAAAATATACGACCTTCTATTTTTCTGAGTTGTACAGGGCAAATTATTAACCCGCTTCTCTCTGGCCTGGCTTCATGTGCCATTTATTTAGTTTTCTAATTAATTCCTAGTTTGAATGCCTAAGAACCTCATCTGTTTAAAATGCTTAGCTTTATAAAAATAGACTGTTTCAAGCACTTCTAGCCCCCTCTGTTCGGTACAAGAACAGAGGAACATAAAGGTTTTCATACCTTAGGCTAGAAAAGAAAAAAAGTGGAAGGTCCGTTTTGTGGATGACTTTCAGGGTGATAAACTGGTCAGCTTACTCCTACCCAAACTGAACATCTGATGAACATCATGCAACAGGGACTGTAACATGACTGCTCCACCATAAACCCTTAGGCAATCTGGAACAGTTTTAAGATAAACTGTGATTTTCCCAGGACATTTATATGCTTTATTTTACACTTCTCATCTGCATCCAGTAAGTGCTTGGCACAAACACTTTAAAATGAAATGGGACATGCCAAAAGTGTACTTGCAGAGGGTTATCACACTTCTTGAGAGACTAAAGCCTCTTGCCCTTCAGTCCCACGTCTCCCGCAGCACCAGAGATGCCATAAGCCCAGAAATCCCTTTTCTTGGTGTGCAAATGAGGCATGAACAGAGCCTCCGATCTGCAGCCCTCGGCCCTACGAGGGTTGGCTAAGGAAGGGATCTGAGGGGTCATCTGGTCCATTTACGTCCACCTGCAGGTAATTTGGGTTTATGCAGAAGTCGCACTAATGAAAAGCCTTTCTGAGCCTGGTGCGCAGGGTAAGGAAGGAGCAGGGCTGTCCCGCAGCACCTTGTCCCCTGGGTGCCGCGCTGCCCGACCCGCGCAGAGCCCGCGGGGCACCGTAACGACCCGCCAGCCCGGTCCTGGCCCCGGCACGGGGCCGCCCTTCCCGGGCATCTCCCCTGGCAGCACTGCCAACCGCCCCGTTGCCGGCCAGCCCTTCGCCAAGGGTGTGCTGCGGCACACGGGGCCACCACAACATCCCTTCCACGGGCATTTCCCAAACTCAGCTCACGTGGCTGTGGGGACCCTTAAGGCCCCATCACTGTTTATTTCTACCCCCCTTCAGCCTCCACTCTTAGCCTGTGGCTTGCTAAATCCCTGCCTTCGTGGACCACAAGAACTCAGCAGAAGCCTTACGATGTTTGGCGTTTTGAAACCGTAAAGACCTTGGTGAAGCTATAAAGCTGCAAGATCACTTACTTGCATGAAGGTCCTTGGTCCTCAGAGTTGCAGAGAAAGGCAAGGAGATGTGCTGAAGGCTGCAAGAAACCAGCTTGATTTTCATGTTGTTATTTTTAACCTCTCCTGCTTCTCTCACCTGTCTCCATCTCCACCATCAGAGCTGGCACAGCATCTGGGGGCTGGGGCTCCCACGCCCGTGGAGTGGGACGGCAGGTTGGGGGAGGAATGCAGGACAAACCCTCCTTCTCCAGCCTCCATGGAGGAGAAGTGGGGAGGCCATGGGGACACGTGGCCAAGGATGGGAAAGGAGATGTGTAAGGAGAGAAATCATTATAAATGCAGGGAAAAGGCAAGGAAAGGGAAAAAAACCTACACATTTCAAGCCCACTTGGTCGAACAGGGTACAGGGAAGAGGGAGCAGAGGCAGGGATGGTTTTGCAATGCCCCTGCACATGAGTCCACCAGGCACTGAAACGCAGAGCCAGCACCGGCAGGACTGGGATGCCTCCTCTGAAAGCAGTATTTATTCTCTTTATATGTTTCCTTCTGAATAAACCTAGATACGGTAAGGTCTGGACACCTCATTTTAAAATAATGGAGCTGGGTTGGGTTTGTCATTATCCCTCCTAGCTCTCTGTGGGTGTAGGAAACTGCCCGAGCAGCTGTGCGAGGAGCAAACTCAGATCCTAACAGATGTAGCACCCGGAGCGATGCGGCAGCGGCCATCGAGCCCCCCCGCGCTGCCCGGGGCTGGGGACCAGCTCCTCCCCGCGCTCCAGCCACGGGCACCCCGCCAGCGCGGGCAGGAGCAGGCAGCTGTGGAGGGGACAGGGTGGGGGCACGGGCAGGCAAACCCCTGTACGTCACCTGAAGAAAAATTGTTTCTCGTCCTGTTTCTGAGCTGTGGTTGGGCTCGACAAGCACAGCAGCTTTATGAACCCCACTCAAGCCCTGGGTCGTTTGCCTTATTGTGGTCAAAACCTCCTCCCAGCCCTCCCTCCTTCTGCCTGCACCCACAGGCACCGGCGTCTGCAACATGCACCCACAAGCCTAGCGAGGGAAGGACGAAAGGATAAAAATACTCATGAAAAAAAAAAAAAAAAAAAAGAAAAAGAAGAAGGAAAAAAAAAAAAAAGAAACAAACAACCAACCCAGGCACCATCTGGATTCTGAGCCCGGAGAGCAGGGAAGGCTGGGCAGGAGGGGAGCGAGCGGAGGGGCACGTTCGCCGGTGCTGGGAGTCGGGGAGCTCTGCCGAGGCCGTGCACGCTCTGGCCACAGCCGGCCCCGCGGGCGAGGGAGAGCCGCTTCCCTGCTCCGTGGCGGCAAAGCGGGCAGCGTTCCACCCCTCCCCACGGCGCGGGGGCTCTCGGCTCTCTGGCAGCTCCGCGGGAGCTGGGCAGCCCCTGGGAAGGGGCTGCTGCTGGCTGCACTGGGGACGGAGCAAGCCCAGAACTTGCTGGCGGTGACATCCCCGCAGCTGGCGAGGGCCTGGCGCAGCTAACTACTACAGAGAGGCGCAGGGGAGCAGACAGCTTAATGACAAAGCCTTGCCTTAGTTTCTTGCTGCGTAGGACAGGGACGGCGGCTGGACCACGGGTGAACGTTCACGGGGTGGCGTGGAGACGTGTGAAACCCAGACATCGCAGCACCAGCACCCAGGAGCAGCCCCGTCCCAGGATGGCCCGTCTCCAGCTCCTCTTGGAGCGGAGGAGCTCCTCCACGGGAGAGCAGACCAGCAGTGGATGGAGTGGGAAAGGGCTGAGCAAACACGGGTTGGCTGGGAGAGACCTGCCGGTCCCGGGCCCTTCGTGCTCGCCCACGTGCCTCGCACCCGTCCCGGGGCACGGCGAGGCCCAGCCCCACGGCAAACGCCTCCAGCCCGTCCTCCCTCTGCCGCGGGAGCGTCTCCACCGTGGGCTCCCGAGCCACCGTCCCCAGCACCACCCTCCCCGTCACGCTGAATGATGCACAAACAACACGACACAAACAGCACAAACAACGTACCCTCCATAGGCAGCACAGCACAGAGCCGACGGACAAGGCTTCTGCTTGCCACGGGCTGTTCTGGCGTCCACGGGAGAATCTCAGGGATCGGACCCCCCCGTGCCGGCCGCGGCGCAGCAGCACGGTGCTGTGCCAGGCTCCAGCCCAGCTGGGGCTCGGGGGTCCCTGTGCTCGGGGCAGAGGCGGCACAGCCCCCCCCAGCCCGTCCCCACACACAGCCCCACGCTGAGGGTCCAGCATGGCAGTAGCAGCCGATCCCCAAATGTGGGCTCACCGTGGCTTCACCCCACAGCCCCAGGGACCCGCTGCACCGCCCTCGCGCTTTCAAAGCGCATTTGGTGGCCGCAGTGAGCAGGAACAAGGAGCAGCTTGAAGGATGGCAGGGTGAAACCTGACCCAGCCCGGGCGTGGGGTCCCTGCCTCCAAACACCCCCGCCACTGAGCTTTCTTCTCACTTTAATTTCCATCCTGAGTGAAGGCACAAAAGGAACTCGGCACTGGGACAAGCGACACGCCAAACCAGCGGGTGCGGTTGGAGCTGATCCTATGTGCCGGGCCTGGGAGGGAGGTTTGCCAGGGAAGGGCCCGATGAGCAGCAGCCATACGGGTAACTGCACCGGACCCTCACGCTGCCGACGGCGCAGACAGCGGCGGGACAGACCCCGGGGGGTGCCGGAGGGGAACGCCATGCGGCCGCCTGTGCCAAGGCCGACGGAGCCGCTGCAACCGGGCTGGGCCCTGTGACCCTGCAACAAAGCCAGAAACCGGCGGGTTTAAACCCAACCCGAGCAGCTTTGGCCCGAGGCACATGAGGGGCCAGCCTGGTGCCCCCCGAGCGCGCGAGCGTGCTGCCCTGGCACCCGCACCCCTTGGGCAGCCCGGCCGGGCACGGCTCCACAGTGCGTGGGCACAGACCCTCCCGTCTGCCCGGGCAGGATTTGGGCAGAAAGGCGTCTGCAGAGCGGGCAGACTCCCTGCCCGTCCCCAGGAGGGAGCCAGCCCACTGTGTTCAAGGCTGCAGGGTGGGTACAGAGGGAAAAGTGACTCAACCTTATCCAGAACTCAAAGAAACGTTCCTGCAATGAAGCAGCAGTGCTCAGCCCCTCCGGTGCAGCGAACACAGGCACTGGTGGATCAGTGGCTCCTTGAATAGCTACACACGTCAGGCAGCTGATTTCTGCCTGAAATAAATGGCTTTACGACAGTGTTTTACCTCAGGGGAAAACGTGTCCTGACAAGCTGTAGTTATTTGCGTGCCCCAAGGATTTGCGGTGCCTGGTTTCTTCAGAGAGAGTTTTACTGACTTCTCCTGAAGCCAGGAACAGATTTATACCAATAATAAACAAGGCAAACCAAAGAACCAGAGCAAACAGTTGATAAAAATCTACATTTTTCCCACCTTGTTTGCTATTCTGGATCTGCAACTCAGGGAGGGAAGGGGCACGGCAGGGGCCAGGGAAAGGGGGAGGGAGAGCTCTGTACTGTTGGCACACAGCCCTGTTTCTGTCAGGTAAAAACTCTCCCCAGTGCTTTTTCTGTGCCTTCACACTGATTGCCAGAAATCATTACGAGAGGAATACACCAGACATCTCTTAGATTGTGAATTTTCATGAGCCCTCTGCTAACGAACCAGAACTGCTAATTTAAAAGCTGACACTAATGCAGTTGCACGGGCAGGGGCTCAGGCACACCGTGGTGCCGGTGGTGGAGGAGCCTGCCCCTGCCCCTGCCCCTGCCCCTGCCCCTGCCCCTGCCCCTGCTCCTGCTCCTGCCCCTGCCCCTGCCCCTGCCCCTGCCCCTGCTCCTGCCCCTGGCCCTGCCCCTGCCCCTGCCCCTGCTCCTGCTCCTGCCCCTGCCCCTGCCCCTGCCCCTGCCCCTGCCCCTGCCCCTGCCCCTGCCGCTGCCCCTGCCCCTGCCCCTGCCCCTGCCCCTGCCCCTGCCCCTGCTCCTGCCCCTGCTCCTGCTCATGACCCTGCCCCTGCCCCTGCCCCTGCCCCTGCCCCTGCCCCTGCTCCTGCCCCTGCCCCTGCTCATGACCCTGCCCCTGCCCCTGCCCCTGCCCCTGCCCCTGCTCCTGCCCCTGCCCCTGCCCCTGCCCCTGCTCCTGCCCCTGCCCCTGCCCCTGCCCCTGCCCCTGCCCCTGCCCCTGCTCCTGCCCCCAGCACAGCCCGTCCCCTCCTGCCCAGCCCCGACACCCGCCGCCGCACGGGGCTGCCACCCTCGCTCACGGCCGGGCTGCTCCCCAAACCTTGGGATATCTCGTTTATCGGCGGCTTCGGGGAGCACAGCGTTGCAACAGAGGCACCCCAGGAGAGAAGCCAGAAATGAGCTGACTTGAGACGAAACCGCTCAGGCTTGCTTGGAGCAGGCACTACAGCAGCTCGGGCAGGACGCAGCGGGTGGAATGTCTTTTTGCCGTGCAAAGGCTGACATGCGGCTGTCTATTTTAAAACAGCATTTAACATGACTAGAGGTGTCGGATGGGTGCAGGAGTGCTGGCTCTCCCAAGCTCTTCTCTTGCTGAGAGCCTGTCTAGATTACCATATGTTATTCTGCCGTATACTTCATCATGCTTTATTTGTCATCCTTTAGCACATATGCTAACAGCTCTACCGCCTGGCACTCAGTAAGTCTGAATTTAGCTCTGAATCAGTCACAAACAAACACTCGCTCAGGGCAACGATCTCCACTTCTCACCATCCTCACTTCCCCACCCTGCCTCGAAAAAGAAGAAAACAGTCAGGCAGTTGGACCAGATGATCACTGTAGGTCCCCTTAAACTCAAAATCTATTCTATTCTATTCTATTCTATTCTATTCTATTCTATTCTATTCTATCCTATCCTATCCTATCCTATCCTATCCTATCCTATCCTATCCTATCCTATCCTATCCTATCCTATCCTATCCTGTTTCATCCCTGCAGCCTCTGCCATGGCCAGCAGGACAGCAAACCATGCCTGGAACATACGAGTTGCCCTACAGTCAGTGAGAGAAGAACAGCCACGCTTCAGTTCAGGATATATTTAAAACCATCCTAAAGGAGAAGGACCACGAGCAAGATAATCACAAAGGAGGGAACCAAACCCGAGGGACCTTTTGTACGGGCCGGGCAGGGAGCCCACCTGCGCAGAGGCAGGCGCTGGACCCTGCTCTCCCTTCCCCTCAAGAGCAGTTCTGGGAAGCCAAAAGCACAAGTCAACTGCTTCCCTGGTGCAAACACGTTTACTTAAAAAGAACACGTTTGTTCCTTTTACCTTGAACACAGTGGGGACAAACACCACCAGGAACATTGCTTACTCACGATTTCTCAGCCTGCCTTTCCAGGCAGAGTTATGGCTCCAGGAGATTTCTGTCTCTCTGAGAGTTGGGCTGCCCTCCGAAATCTTGCCCCTTTGCCACACGCAGGGTGCGGGGGTCTCCCTGCCCGGGACTGAGCACACCGGGGGCAGCGGGCTGCGCCAGCGGGGATGGGGGTTTCACTGACCACCAGGCAAGGATGTTACGAACGGCAGCTGGGTGTGCTGGAATATTATTTTTAGTTCATAAGTAAATATTTAACTGAAGAAGTCGTCCATGTGCTCCAGGAAATTGCTCTATCGCGGGATGGTTTACAACCGTGCGGGTGCAGACCTCGCCAGGCGTGCCCGAAGATGCTCCGCCGTGAAGGGTGGAGGCGGGCAGGCACGGCAGCGCTGCGTTTGTCAGAGCAGGCCAGCACCCCCTGCCCAGGGCAGCACGCCGGCTGGGGGCCACACGCGCCCCCGCCCCGCCGCAGGGTCACTCAGGTGATGGCAGCTGTCTGTCTGTCCGCCGTTCTGCCACATCCTGCCCTTCCCTCCAGCGCCGCTGAACGCTTGCTCCCCAGGGAGGCCCCTGCCCGGCGCCCGCGGACGGGCTCAGCCGCTGCAGGACCGGCCTTTCACCGGGCCGAGACCCACGTCCCTCCTCCTCCTCACCCCCTCGGGGCTGCGGATGGCAAGTCAGCGCTGGAGCCGCTGGAAAACCACAGGGAGGGGCGAGGATTTGCGCCGTTCCTTCCCTGTCAGCTCCGCTCCCTTTGCAAGCAGGTGATTTCGTGCCCGCTCATCCCACGGGCTCACCTGGCCTCGACGCACAAGCTGTTCCCTCTCCTTCGTGCATCCACAACAACAATTGTTGAGCCTCCTCACACGGGGCGGGTAAGGGCCCCGGCTCCCCCCAGCGCAGGGCCGCAGCCCCCCGCCGGGAAGGCGCTCCCAGGGGGAGCGAGGGGTGCTAACGGTGGGCGCGGGGCAGGGGAACCCCGCGTCCCTCCAACAAACAAGCGGGCGCCGGGGAAGGAGGCAAAGCCACAGGGAGCCTAAACCGCGAGCTCGCCTCCCCCAAAGCATTTACAGCTGCCGTTTGCAAGTAGCAAACCTTCCTATTGTAGCCTCTAAATCAAGTAACGCTAATTGGACAAAACTGGGAAGAGCTGCACGACAATCACTGCATTAACTGCAATGTGCCCCAAACATTGAGTTTTACGCTGAAAAACACAGCAATTGCACCGAGTGACTTAGGCAGTTCAAGGCTGCAGGAGGAAGATGTGTGTGCAGCCCCGAGGAAACTTTTTTCTGCGTACCTCATGGTGCAATCTGGTGCACTCGAAAAGGAAAAAGAGGCTCCAGATCCTTATTCTTCAGGAGTGCTGTGGAGCATCAGTAATAAGTCCTCTTTGGCAGGCATATGTTAACAGCATCCAGGGAGGGGAGAACTTCATCAGAGCAGAGAAATCATTCCAGCCTGACTTTGGTATGACTCCAGCAAGTCTGAAATATCCATAAGGGCTCTGCTCCCATCCCTCCTCAGATCCATCCTGACCCTGTTGTGGGCAAGATACCAAATATAGACTTTTCTATATTACTGGTTTGTAATGCTTATTTGCTTTTAGACAGTGTTTTGCAATTCTAAGGGTTTGGACGGGTATTTGCCCAGCAAAAGGCTGCCTCATTTACAGCAATTAGCTTCCCTGCCCTGTTAGCAAAACAGGACCGCGTTACTGCCTGGATGCTGTGCTGCAAGCAGGCCACACACAATATGTTTTTAACTAGGGCTGTCGCTTTGAATGGTTAGCAATCGTGCTTTGATTTTCTTTCATTTATTTTTAGTGCTTATTAACCAGCTAAATGGCAAAGAAGAAAACCACCATGCATGACGGGTAAAGGCATCTGGAAGCAGTGAGCTTTGCAAATCACTTTGGAGGAAGCTGGAGCCGTCCCTAAGCACCAGTCCAAAAGACGGGGGGATGCCGCGGCAGCGGGGGGGGGAGGTGAGCAGGAGCAGGGGGTGAGCCCAGCAGCCCCTTCCCCCCCCTCATGAGACACCTCACAGCCCGGGACGTAGAAGACCTGTCGGTCAGAGCCGAGCACTCAGCCAATGGCAGGATTTTGTGCCGATTTTGGGCTAACTCTGGACCACCGGTTGCCCAATGTCGCAAGCTCGGCCCTCGGCCCAAGACCCGGGGGGTGGGGGCACGGGCAGCGACCGGCTGAAGGCAGGATGGCAGGGGACCAACTACTGAACTGGGGGCATCAGCTCTGCTGGGGGAGGCCGCCCAGCCTGCCTGGCCACCCCCGGGGGTCCTGGCCCCCACCCCAGATCTCAACAGTTCAGCTTGCAAAGTCCACGGCCAGCCAGGCCCTGCCATGTTCACATGGCTCCAATTACAAAAATTGTCAAAGCTGAAAAAGAAAATAATAAAAACCTTTGTAGGCCATTAAGGTTGCCCGGAGGCTGTACCGAGCATGCTGGCCGCTTCTGCAGACTCCTCGTGCTTCTCTGCCACTCACTGCCAGGACGAGCATTTGCCATAACAGCTGGGGCGACCTGTGATGGCGATCAGATAAATCACAGAGAAGTGATCCGAGATGGCAGCAGATCAAAAGCATCCGCTGACAAAATCTGCACTGAAATCAGAGGTGTTTATTGGTTCAGTCACCATGGTAATTAATTACCTGGCACTCATCTTCTTAACCAGAGCTTTCATCTACCATTCCCAGAGGCCAATAGCAAATGCCAGATTCTGCCCCTCCAGCCGCTGCCTAAAATATCTTCCAGGGCATCGTCTCACAACGTGTCAGGACAGGCAGCAGGACCAGGGTCTCCAGTCTGCTCCCGCTCCTGAAGCGCAGGGTGCCTGCGCGCCTCCCTCTCAAACACCCGCTCGCTGCTGGCGAGACGAACCCGGGACGCGCCGGGACAGAGCTCCCGCAGCTCGGAGCCGTGCTGCCGCCCCACGCCCCACGCGCGCCCCACGCCCCACGGCCCGTGCCGCATGAGGACGGTCCCCAGGCACTGCTGTGACACCCGCAGCTGGCATCGGGCACTTAGGTGTGACGGGCTGCTGCGTGAGTGTCCTTCAAGGGGGTCTGAGAAGTGACCCCGGGGGGGCACGGCGGCACCAAAGGGGGGTCCTGAGCTGAGGGAAGGGCTGTGCTGGAGAGAGGCCCCGGGGAGCCAGCCGGCCACCCGGGGCCCGGGCAGCCCTCGCCACAGGCAGCCCCGGAGGGCTGAGATGGAGTCAGGTGCCGGCAGCGAGAGCAGACACCATTGTCTGGACGCTGCTGAGACTGGAATCAGCCTCCCCAGGCCAGGACTGGCCGCTTCGGGACCCATTTCTGAAGGGCAGTAGCCTGCCTCTGTCCATCGCCGCACCCAGGCACCGCTGTGGTAATCAGCAGTGCTGCCTTCCGGGAAGCTTAGACAAAGAGAGCAACAAATCTACTGCAAGTCACCTTTTTTGTGTCAAGAGCCAGGAGGGTGAAGCTGCAGGTTAGCAGGAATGGGCACATCCATCTTTTGGCGCTTCCTTTGTGAGCGTTTTCCTCCTCCGACAGTTTTCCGGGCCACCTGGGAGGACCATGACAGTTCCAAACGTGAAGGGTGTCCCGGTCTCCGCGACCCCTTTGCTCAGCCAGGCTGGCCAGGGCTGGGGAGCCGAGCCCCGACCCTGCAGCCAGCGCTGTCCCCCCCGGGCAGCATGTCCCCTCCAGGCGCCCGGGCAGGCTGACCCCGCACCCGCACAGGCACAGGCTGCTGCAGCTGCGGCACAGCCGCTCCCAGCACACCACCACCCCTCGCAGAGCCCGCCGAGGTTTGCTACGGACTGAACTCTTTCTTCATGCACGCAGGAAAAATGCGGGGTGGTTTCCAATCTGCACCGGACGGGGTCAGGGGAGGGCAGTGCCCGAAGCCCGGGTGCGGGGTGGGAGTGCCGGCCGGGTCCCGGGGCAGGAGTGCCGCGGCGGGGAACGCCGGCAAGCCCTGGGCACGAAGCCGTCGCCGGAGCCGGGCCAGCCGGCGCGCACGTGTGCCTGCCACGCGGCCCGGCGGCCAGCGGGCCAGCGGGTCACCGGCCCCGGCGGCAGGAGGCCAGTCGAGGTTAACGGGGACACACCTGCAAAAACAGCCAATCTGGGGCAAACCGCGGCGCTGGCCCCGAGGAGGAACCTCTGGCACCTGATGGGGCAAAGGGAGGCGGGTGGAGGGGGACCCGCCACTGTTGATCTTGGGAGCCGCACAAAGCAGGAAAGGGTATTTAACCCCCTGCAGAGACCCTTAAAACCTCTTCTGAGCTCCAAAACCCAACAGCTGAAGAAATAGCGGGGTGTTTTCCTCGCCTTTTCTGCAGAGTATCGCTTTCAGCTGACTCTGGTAAAGCAGCTATGAGCGAAACAACAGATTGCTCCGGGTGAGTAACAGAGGAGGGTTTGAATTTGTTTTAGTAAGACAAGGAAAATGTTCTCTGGGTTTTGTTTAAGGCTTATTTATAAAATTGACCTCTATTGTTACTTAGTTGCTTTTCATCTATTAAAGCTGGTGGAAAGCTAAGGCAAACTGGCCTCCCACTGTGTGCAGAATCTGAATTTAAATTTGCACTTGTACTGCTGGGCAGTTATTTGGGACAATATAAATATAAAATCCTGATTTGTTAGGAGCTTAATAAGCTGTCACATACAAAATAGCACAGTACATTATCCACTAGATATTTCTGGCAGAATTATATGAAAGAAAGAGCTAAGGTTGCCATTGACAAAACTGATGATAACTACTGAGGAAGCTTTTTTGCCAAATAGCCAGACGTAATAAAAGAGATGTCAAAGAGGTCACCAATAGCGATGGCTGGAAGGAGGAGGCCAGCTCGTGTGACAGCAGGGCTCTGATGGAAAGGCAGCCACCCCAGACGCCATGCAGAGCTGGCTCGTGCCCGTCCCGTCCCTTCCCCGACACCAGGGCCGTGCGTGTCCCTCACGGGGCTCCCAGGCCACCCCAAGCCCCGTCCTGCCCTGTCCCCATTCCTGCGGGCATGGCCCGGTGCCCCTGACCCATCTTCGCCCCATCTCCCCGCAGCAGTGGGCTTGTCCACCTTAAAAACCCGCACTTGGCCTCGATGGAGGAGGACGTTCTCTATCACTTGGGCTTGGGAACAAAGACGCACAACCTGCCGGCAATGTTTGGGGACATAAAGGTAAATAGCAGGTGCAAAAGCGAGGCAGCAGCTCCCAGCCCCGCAGGGCTCCCCAGCCCCTTGTCCCACAGCTCTGCCGGCCCATGCTGGGGCCCCCCTGCCGCGGATGCTCCCGTCGGGGACAGTGTCTGGCTGCTCGGCAAAGGGAATCAGCCACCCGGGCTAGCCCGGGCAGGGAGGTCATCCATCCTCGCTTGTTTTAGTCAGAAATCCCAATAGAAAATTAGCCTTTTAAAAACCTGTAGTTCCATAAAACCTAATTTTATATTGGCCCCCACATTGGAGGACAGACGGAGGAAGCATTTGTCCAAAGCATCTGATCGTCATCTACTGGAGACAAGGGAAAGAGGATGTCTTATTTTTGGCTGAGACCTGCTGTCAAAACCAGCCTGTCACGACTGCATCTTCTTCCGTTTTAAACTGGAGCATTTCCCCAGTGGTGTGGGGGGAAGAGCCGTGGTGCCCCGGGCAGGGTCCCGCTCCCCTGCACCGCCGCCAGCCGCACCAGCAGCACTGCCCTTGCAGCCGCATGCTGGTCCCCCTCCTACGTTCAGGGAGCATTTTTCCCTTCAGTATGTAAAATTTGTCCTTTTCCCTCCCCGACTTTACAGCCTCTGTGTCATCAGCAGTGCTCACTAATTGCAGTTGGCACTGTTGATAGAATAAATTAAATGACAAGCTACTCGAACATCTGGTTTTGCTTTGCTGTCAGTAGGAATACTAATAGCTTAAATTTGCTGAATTATTTTAGATTGTCTTGGCCTGGGGCTGATACCCGAGTATGTGCAGCTGTACAGCTGTCTGGACCTAGCGTAGTCAACCCTAAAGGAGCAAGAGCTTGCTTTTAGCGTCAGCTCCTGGTTTTGAGACCCTCGGGTGTTCCGATGCCCCTCGACTGCCTTCGAGGAAGCAGCATCCCACTGCGCTCTCTGGGGAGACGTGTCTGGCACAGCCCACCACTGCCACATGAAGAGTGAATCTCGGTACCTATTTCAGCCAGACTGTGCCAACACGTTCCTATTTTACACCCAGTTTGTCTGCGTTGGCAGCAGCCCGAACAGGATGAGGGCGTTTGCCCAGTTCATGCACAAGGAGCTGGGCCTGGCGGGCGACGGGGAGGACCTGGCCGACATCTGCGCGGGGTCGGACCGGTACGCCATGTACCGGGCTGGGCCGGTGCTCTCCATCAGCATGAGTACCGCCCCGCCCTGCCCCGCCCTGCCCCACCCCGCCCCGCCCCGCCCCGCCCTGCCCCGCCCCGCGCGCGGTGCACCCCCCGCCCCAGCGCCCACTGCCGCTGGCACGGGGGCCCCGTCTCCCCCCGCAGCAGAGGGGGGGCCGGCACCACCTCTCCCTCCCGCAACACCCACCGCCAGATTTTATCTCCTCTTTTCGGTTTCCAGCCATTATCACCAGTGCAACCGTGCAGCCATGGTAGAGCTGCTTCTGTCCGCGTGACGGCGCCCTGCATGTCCGGTTTATAAAGCACTGTGTTAAAAATGAAGATGCCCATATTCTGCACAGCTCAGCAGTACGGCAATTCGAGAGGCAAAGACCACTTCCCACCACGCATGAACTCTTGCTGGAAGTATTACACTGATGTGAGCTCTAAAGTAAACCTTGCCTTTTTTTTTAGTTATTCTTCAAGAGCAGAATTTTTGGCGCTGCACAAAGGAAGAAGAAAATACAGGCTGTGCTGGTGAGTGCTCATGCCCCAAAGCTCGGTCCTGCCGTCATTTCTTTGGGCACGAGATTAGTCCTTAAGCCTGATTCACAGGAGGCAGCACCGCTCACATGACCGAGCTCACGTTTGGTCCCTCTGACCAAACCAAACCAAACCAAACCAAACCAAACCAAACCAAACCAAACCAAACCAAACCAAACCTGACTGATGGAAAAGCCTGAGGCAATCAATCTGACAGGATCCAAGGGGAAAAAACCCTGCAAGTTTTGCTATTCCCCGGTCTGGCAGCAGCCGTGACACAGCCAGAAGAAAAGCCTACGCTGAGCTCTTGGCCATGCTCCGGTTTTGCACCAATGTAGAAGCCATCGACCCCCAGGCTCGCCCCTGCGGGGGCACACGGGGCAGAGCACGCAGCGAGCCTCCCCCAAATCGCTTTGTGCAGAGCAGCTGCCAACATCGCATTTTTGCAAGTTGCTTAGAAACACAAATGAACTCAAACATACTGGAGGCAGGAACAGTTTCCTGCTTTGAATACTTACAATGAGAATAAATTTTTTAGGCATTGGCGAATAAGTCAGGCTGATGTTCCAGAATAACAACATGCAAAAGTTTTCATATTTAAAACATGATAAAAGCCTAATAGACCATCAGTCTCACAGTCAAAGGAAAAGAGACAAAGCAATATGAGAACTGACTGCATACGCTAAATTAACTGTGCTTCTTTACATATGCTTCCTTCAGGTTTTCGAACACGGTAACAAAACCAAAAAAATGTGAGGCATTTTTCATGGGAAAAACCAAACCCGACACCACCAAACACATTTTGTTTTTAAAGGTGAAGCCAAGAAAAGGACATTGATGAGGCGATGGAGCAGAAAACTAAGATGATCACGTGAGGGAGCCCTGGGCAGAAAGCAAAGGCAGCCTCGACAGCTCAATCTGCAAAACATCTGCCAGCCCAAGGAGGGGCCGTGGGGCCGGGGCGAGCCCACGGGCAGGCAGGCAGGCGCTGGGCTCGGCAGGACACCGGGACGGGTGATGTGAGCCAGCGAGGAGGACCGGACCAGCGGCCTGCGGGGCACGAGGCTTTCACGTGGCAAACGCCCGACCCCGAAACCGGTCCCCACCGAGGGGCACGAGCCCCCCCGCCGTCCGCGGCGCCCAGCGACACGGGCAGAGGGGCTCCGGCGTGGGGCGCGGGGCCGGGAGGTGCCCGGAGCAGCAGCGGCTCGCGTGGTCCTCGCTGACATTTACCACCCCAAGAGCACCAGTGGGAAGCCAGCACGTGGGGTTGGGTGGGCGACGCAAGGGGAAGGAGCGCTCAGCGTTGGGACGCGTTTGCGGAGAGACCTGTCTTGAAGGAGACACACCACCGGCGCGCCTGACGTACCGGTCCCCCGGGATGGACGCCAGCTCCATCGATAAGAGCAGCCTTAGAGGCATCAAGGCGAGAAGAGGGTTAGGTGCTTGACCCGGGCAGGCTACAAAGACCCCAAGATGTCTCTCCCCCCTCCAAAAATCGCCGTTGGCCTCATCAGCAGAAAGAGGCCATCGCGTAACCCTGAGCTTGTCGCAGTCACCTACCTGCCACCTGCCACAGCATCACGGGGAATGACATTTTTCTTTTCTCTCCTTCCAACAGCACGGGATGGGCATCCCTTCCATTTTGATCATGCTTCATGAACTAATCGAACTGCTCCACCATGCAAAATGCCGAGACGTCACTATTATACACATCGGTACTTCTGGAGGCTTAGGTAAGGTATCCATGGTCTTTTTTCAGAGCAAAACCGCTATTAATAGAAAAAATTCTCAGCAATAGGTCATGCCATTATGAGCTTTAGTATTTTGTCAGACCACCAAGTATCAAACGACATGATATTTTGGTTTTGGTTTAACACCCAGCAAACTTCTAGCAACTGGCTTAGCAGAGTGCACACTTTCGTAACGAACACATGCTTTGAATTCACAATTGTGTAGCACATTTCAAACAGAAAACACTTGACTGGAAGTCACTCTCATGCTCTGAGATCCTCCCAGCTGTCCTGGTGCCTGCAGTCCTCTGTGCTGCTGGGACCCCCGGCCAGGGCAGCGATGCGCTCACGTCTGCACAAGCTGCTGGCGGGGCGTGATCTCTGCAAGCCAGAAGCAATTAAAATGCTGCTGCTCAGCACGTTCCCACAATCACCCATCATGCGCCGATTCTGTACATTTCACTTGTACATCCGTGCTACTGCACGAATTTCAATTATTCTCTCACATCTGTTTTACTCACTAAAAAGAACGATCCCACGGTCAGATATGTATCTGTAGATATTTTTCTGTCATGCTGAAGCTTTGCAGCAGGTCACACGTGTTACGAGCTCTGGCTTAGCCTCAGCCTTCATTTCCACAGGGATCGAGGCCGGGTCTGTTGTCATCACGGACACAGCGGTGGACCCCTCCTTCACGCCGCGGTTTGAGCAGGTCGTGCTGGATGACGTGGTGGTGCGGAGCCCTGAGCTGGACAAGGATCTTGCGGAGGAGCTACTCACCTGCAGCAAGGAGATTCCTGACCTTCCCACGCTCATCGGCCATACCATGTGCACCTACGACTTCTACGAAGGTAAACCGATCTTTGGCTGTCCTTCCTCCCCCCAAATACACTGCCAAGTCTTTACATGCTTATGTAGACTAAACTATCCACACTATCAAAGCCGAGGAAGGGCTGCGGGAGCAGACCCACGGGACAGGTTAGAGCTTGTTCAGTGCTCACCTTCAGAACACGCAATACCCATTTCGGCCCTTTGCCAGGGAAGATCTCTGTGTATTGGTCTCTTGTGCATCTGGCAGTTAAGTGCTGTAATGTCACGGGCAAGGCCAGCGCTGCTCTGGCTGACTGTGCCTCACGAGCGAAGGTCCACCCAGCCGTGGTCGCTCCCTGGGATGGTGCAGACCCCCGGGGGGCCCCTCCTCCCCCCGGTCCTGCCGTTACCTGGAGCCGCTCTGAAAGCGGGAGGCCAGCGGCTGCACCCTGGCAAAGAAAACAGCCCCTCGTCCTCACTCCTGCAGCAAGCCTAGCAGATGGGTTATGCCGAGGTGCTTCCTACAAGGCTGTAACTTCAGAACTATCAAACACTAGAAAAATGTCAGGAAGCTTGTGACATTTACGTAAACAAACTTAGGTTACTCTGGAACCCTTTCCTTTGCAAAATTAAATGGTGATTGCAGAGTAGACGAAATGTAACAAATGAAGAATTAATAACCTGAGGACTATTTATAAACCTTTGGATCTGCTTGCAAATGCGACCATCTGTGTATTGCTCAAGGCCATGTTTTATTTAAACAAAAAGCCGTTCGAGAGGATTAACAGTGGGAACAGCAATAAAATGAAGCACTCTGCCCGGGTTAGCACAGCCACAGGTACAGCTCTGGCTCGCACCAAGGACTTTACATACTGTGCAAGCGGAGTAGGCGCGCCGGGCAGGGAGGGAGGGAGGGAGCACCAGCGCCCCGGGCCCCGGCTCCTGGCCCGCACCGGTGCCAGCCGGGCACGGAACGCCACGCACAAGCAGCTCTCGCTGCCTGCCAGCCGTGGCTGCCCCTGAAGGAAAATCACACCTAAATTAAGGGGGTTTTCCTTTCCCCACTTTTCCCGTTCTGTACAGCTTGCTGCACTTCTTCCGCAGTAATTTGGCATTTTTTAGATTTAACCTGGCAGATCTTCACAGCTGACGCACGCTGTGGACCTCAGAGAAACTGTGATGAGCTGCCCATGCAGAGTGCAATATACCCCCTGTACTTAACACGTGTGTGCTTACTCGTCCTTCTTACAAATGTTAAAACCTGTGTAGTTTTCTCCTCTGTTCAGACAGCACAGCACACTGGCTGTAAACACTGAGATTAATACGAGATAAGTAACTGTTCAAAGGAAAACTCAGTTGGCTTCAGACAAGCCGTAGGCACTGCTGGACTTTCCATTTGGAACTACACCCTGCTCACTGTGACTGTGAACCCAGGCAGGGCCAGCCCTGACACCTTTCTGCTTCCTTTCAAGGTCAGGGGAGATTAGATGGAGCGCTGTGCTCTTTTTCCAGTGAAGAAAAGTTAGAGTACTTAAAGAGAGCTTACGACGCCGGCGTGAGGAACATCGAAATGGAGTCCACGGCGTTCGCGGCCCTGTGCAGGCCGTGCGGCCTGAGAGGCGAGTCCTCCCGCCCGCGCCCGAGGGCTCGGCCTGGGGTGAGATGTGGGCAACCTGAAGGGAAGCCAAAAAGGCACTCCCAACGATTTCATCTGCAAAAGCACACTAAAACGAATTTCGTGGCTCCGTGAAAAACTGGTCGGTTTTGGAAGGCTTGGGCGCGCGCTGGGGAAGACAAAGCTTAAACCCCGCCTCGCCCCCCTCCCGGCCTTAGCTCCGCGCCGGGCACAGCGGTGTGGCTGCCTGCCCCGCGGCGCGCGAGGCGGGGGCTGACGCAGCGCTTGGGCCGCCGTCGTCTGCGCGGTGCTCCTGGGCCGCCTGCAAGGGGACCAGCTCCGGGCGCCCCGCGAGGTGCTGCGGGAGTTCCAGCGCCGGCCCCGGCGCCCGATCGCCGCCTTCATTCGGAAGCGCCCGGGGCTGCGCCCCGGCCCCTTCTCTCCCGGGACGTGGGGGACACGCGGGCCACGACGGGCTCCCACGGGCCCGTGCCCTCCGCGGCGCAGTCGGGAGGCCGACCCAGCCGACGCCGCCGTGCAGGAGCCGCAGAGCTCCGGCACGGCTTGAATCGCGCCGACAGCCTTGCACAGCCACGGAGAGCTCCGGCCAAAACTTGCACAGACGCGAAGACAGTCGTTACGGAACTGCACGCTCCTCGCTCCCACCCCCAGCCGTTGTAAAGGGCTGTCCCATTAGGGCCGCTCAGAGATCCTCTCGGAAGAAGACCCCTTCGCATGTGGCATGAAGTAAATGACATACAGAATGACTCCGCGTTGGTGACCGTTACTGTTACTCGTTACGAAGGCCGTTCAGACTTTCATTCCTACAACAGCTAAAGATCTGTCAAAAGCCAGCGTGTGCAGAGCGCCTGAACGCCGGAGGCGGGCGCGCGGGAAGCCCACCCTGCACAGGCCATCCCCGGCCCGGCAGGAGCAGCTTCACCCCGTCGCACGGTCGGCAGGTTTGGGCACGGGGCACACGGGGACCCTCGGGTGGGAAAGGGATGGGGCGCACACATTACTGACCCAACCTCGGCCTGAGTTCACGTAACTGCCAGGGACCGACTCGTTCACATTCACCCGCCAGTCAACACACACCAACGATCCAGAAGCCATCTCCACATGTCTCCACATGCTGCAAGCGACTAAACTGCGCCTGGGTTGAGCGGAGGGGTTTTTTTTGTGGAGGGTCACCTACAGCCTGAAGAATTTCCCACCAAAATCCCTTTCAGTTCTTCAGGTTCACTGACAAGCTAGCTTCCAAATTAATTTTGTCATCTTTGGAACATGAACTTCCAGGATTTAAGAGTTCTGGTAAACAAAATTTTAACATCGCAAAAACCACGGGAGAGGATCTTAAGATATGAATGAGAATACGAGCATGAAACACATAAATCTAAAGATTCTTACAGACACGCCGAGGAGCCATCCCCAAGGTACATGTTCTCCAGTCAGCACCTGAAAATCTGCTTCATCAGCAACCTCGGGGCTCCTCTAGTGCCGGAAATATTTCCACGCGGTCGGGTACAGCTCGATTTGCCTCCTAAATGCGGAGGTTTCTCTCGGCGTCCCTCCCGTCCCATCCTGCCCACACGCTGCCGCCTCCCACCCCCAACTTAAAACCACTCCAGGAGAAGGAATATGGTACTTTAACATTTTGCCTGATTTGATAGGTATGGTTCGCTCTGCTGCAGCTTACAGACACACAGTCCTGGTCATTAACTTTGAAGCAGACAGTGAACTCCTCATTCTCTAGAACAACTGCCCAGTGAAGAGACTCTTGATTTGCTTATTCTGCTTTTAGCTTAATGATAATGTTGTTAAATGTTTTTTCTGCTGCACATTCTAAGTTTGACAGTCTTCAAGGATTTCAGATGAGTCAGTACAAAGCTCAGGACGTGTGTCCTTGGTGAGCTCCTTTTCAAAATATTGACCATTACTGCAAAGCCCTCTCTATTCTCAGGGGGTCGGAATTGGCATGGCAATCTCATTTTTCTTTTGCTGTAACTACATAAATGTGCATATAACCTTACGTGCACATAAGTCGGCACAAACTTTAAGTATTTTGCAACAGCTAGATACTATACCAACTGATATTGCGCCAGCTGGGTACTTGACTTTCAGGCACTACTTAACACTGAAGCCACTTTTCTGACCACCAAAATTCACAGATAAGTAGTATATCTTGAAACCAAATAACTTAATTTTCACAAAGAAGTTTTTCTCAGGCTTTAAAAAAATCAGATTGTTAGTCAAACTGCATACACTTCATACACTGCCACAAAGGACAGCTGAATTCTGAACTGTTACCTTTACAGGGTCAAAAACCACAAAGTAGGGCTGCAAGAGATGCTGGTGGAGAAGTCTATTTCCCATTAACATTTCCTAAATTGGTATTTTTACGTGCAAGTAATTTCATGCATCTTTGTACAAAAATAACTTGAAAAAATAGGCTTCCTCAAAAAAGCGTGGAAAGCATTTATGATGAAAACAAACGTCGGCATCAGCGTCACCGCGGCCCAACTGCTGCGGTCGTGGCTGGAGAGCGGCGCCCAGGGGAGGGTGACGGCGCGAGGCGACGCGGCGGCCGCAGGAGCAGCCCCTGCTCGTGCTGAGCAGAAACCTGAAGCCAGTTTCACCCACCTGCACGCTTTCCACGCCCAACGCTACATGGAAATCCCTCTGAAACCCCTCACGCTGGCCTCGCTGCCTCGGTAACGAGCCCCGATTCACGGCTGCAGGCAGCTGGCACAGACTCATCCATGTGCACCGAGGGACTTCTACTGGGTCTGTTCCCTCAGAAACAACAGGTGCGAAGACAAGCACAAGACACTGCCTAAAAATCAGAGCCCTTTAGTTCAAATATAAATGTCTGCTTCGTTTAAACCTCCTTTCTTTCATAAATGCCTCGGCATTTATAAAAGATGACAACTATAATCTGAAAAGATTTTGCACCACGGAGATTATCTTATGAGTCTGCTTTTAAAGGCAAGAAAAAAAAATTAAAAAACCCAACTGCCTTAAGTTTGGGATCTCCTGTTTCTGGAAAGCAGTCTATCAGCCAATCTGGTCTCCAAAAGAGAAGAAGAAAAGCAACGCTGGTCTCCCCTGCAGGAACATCCAACAAGTTGTGAAGCTGGCCAAGTGTGTTTTAAAAATAATGAGCTACTCCAAACGAGATACCGAAGTAGAATGCACAAATATACACAGAATTGTAATTTTAGCACAAACATGCAAAAGCTAAATCCAGAAGACACACAGCTCCCACGGCTTTTGGGCAGCCTCTGTAGCATTTCTCCCTTCATTAAAATAACTTGGCTTCAGCACGCAGACTGTGTTGCCCCTGGTCTTACACGCTGCCTGCTCTGGGGAGTCTGTCGCACCGGCTCTTCCCCTGCCTTTCTGGCACCCTCCTCGAGCCGCCGTCTGCTTCTGACTTCGCACCCCCCAGCACCCAGGCCAGAGCAAACCCCGCCGGGTGCTCAGAGACCCAGCGGAGGTCCGGCTTACGCTGCAGGACCTTCCCACGGCTGCTGTCAGCGTGCTGCTCGTCTCGGACCGCGCAACACGGGGCGTGGAGTCGCCGAGCAGGCGGAGAGGGGAGGGACGGCCGTGCCGGGCCAGGCGCGTCGCAGTGAGTGGCACACCGGGCGGCACACTGGCACACTGAGCGGCACACCGGCACACCGAGCGGCACACCGGCACACCGGGTGGCACACTGGGCAGCACACCAGGCAGCACACCGGGCGGCACACCGGCTGGCACACCGGGCAGCACAGCAGGCGGCACACTGGGTGGCACACTGGCACACTGGGCAGCACAGCAGGCAGCACAGCAGGCAGCACACTGGGTGGCACACCGGGCGGCACACTGGGCAGCACACACACAGCAGGCGGCACACCGGCACACCGAGTGGCACACTGGCACACTGGGCAGCACAGCAGGTGGCACAGCAGGCGGCACACCGGGCGGCACACCGGCACACTGGGCAGCACACACACACCAGGTGGCACACTGGCACACCGGGCAGCACACACACACCGGGTGGCACACTGGCACACTGGGCAGCACACACACACCAGGTGGCACACTGGCACACCGGGCGGCACAGCAGGCGGCACAGCAGGTGGCACACTGGGTGGCACACCGGCACACCAGGCAGCACACACACAGCAGGCGGCACACCGGCACACCGGGCGGCACAGCAGGTGGCACACTGGCACACTGGGCAGCACAGCAGGTGGCACAGCAGGCGGCACAGCAGGCAGCACACCGGGTGGCACACCGGCACACCGGGCAGCACACCGGCACACCGGGCAGCACACACACAGCAGGCGGCACACTGGCACACCGGGCAGCACACACACAGCAGGCGGCACACTGGCACACCGGGCAGCACACACACAGCAGGCGGCACACTGGCACACCGGGCAGCACACACACAGCAGGCGGCACACTGGCACACCGGGCAGCACACACACAGCAGGCGGCACACTGGCACACCGGGCAGCACACACACAGCAGGCGGCACACTGGCACACCGGGCAGCACACACACACCGGGCAGCACACTGGCACACCGGGCAGCACACACACACCAGGTGGCACACACACACCGGGCAGCACACTGGCACACCGGGCAGCACACACACAGCAGGCAGCACACCGCCCGCTCGCAAGGCGGACAGGGCTCCCCGCTTCCCGCAGCCTCGGGCCCTCCTCTGCACGGGGAGCAGCTTCGCTCTGCTGCACGAGGCCTCGCAGGTATGTCAACCGCCAACACCCGCAAGGCGCTGCAGTACGACACTAATGACGTTCCTGTAATTACCCAGATACGCAGCTATGGCTGCTCAGATCTTTCTGGTACTCATCGTCCTTTGAAATTTTTGGTTAAACTGCTAATTGTGACTTGTTTACATACATTTTACACTCATCTTATGTAAGGCTTGAAAACATAATCAGTTACAAAATGAAATAACATCAATTTCCCTTTCATTTAATAGAATCCTATTCAGTAGTTTCAGATCCAAAATAAAGATCCCAGATCTGAAACGCTATTTCTAATTTATAATTTATACTGAAAGGCTAATCTGCAGTATGAAATTGCATGACTGGTTTTGCAGTAAATATGATACAGCAAATTGGTTTCTAAATATAGACAAAGGTTAAGTTTCATCTTATAATAATTAAGGAATAATGGAAACATCATGAAGATTTTATAATTAAAATAAAATTCTCAAGAAGCCTGGAATGAAAGTTGTGAGATGTACTCATGTATCATAATATAATCTGAAGTGACTGTTCCGCAGAGCTATTTTGGATTCATGCTGCCAGTTGAAAAACAGAGTTCCTACTCAAGCTGCTGTACATCAGATTGGCCTGCAAAGCCCGCAGGAGTCTCTCACGTACAGGTGTCCTTTCTCCCCATAGAAGGGGACATGGGAAGTTACACAACCACGGCCCACACTCACCAAACCGCTCTAAAACCGTCGCCCAGGCAGGCAAAAATGGGGTAGCACTGCATGGGAAAGGCACGCTGGCTTTCTGAGCGATGGCACACACTGAGAACTCAGTAGTTCTGTGGCACAGCCTAAGGGAAATTTATTTGAGGGTTTCACGTTATAGGCAATACGATACCCTTGAAGCTTCTCTACTCCTGATATGAGAGGCGCTCTACATTTTAAAAGCTGTAGATTCCATCTCTCTTCTTGGAAGCTTCAATGGAGGAATTTTTGGTAAAATCTCTCTTGCATAAAGTGTTTTATGAAGTCCGGCTTCTCGAAGAGCTAGCTCAACACGAAGTCTAGGGTCAGAAATTATCTGTTAAAATAAACCACAGCAATGATTAACAGAAACAAAACAATACTTTCCTCACACACACAGTGTATCCCACAGGTTATGTGTGGATGTATATATTTAAACAGTTTTAAAAGAGAGTCAAAAAATTATGCTCATAAAATAAAGCCTTCAAAAGCAGAGAAACTCTACAGTGAACAAGTGTTATCCCACTGCACATACCTTGAGGTAGTCCTTTTTAATATTGATGATCACAAACTATTTTAACAGAGAGCCCTGGTTGTCATTCCTCGAGGAAACTCAAAGGGTAGATGCGAAACCGAGTGACTTTTAATTCAGCCCACTCACTGAAGGGTTGCTGACTTCTCTAACGCTCCCCACCAGTGCAGCCCTGCTTTCGGCACTTTTCATCCCTTCCTGGTTGTTTCTGTGGAATCCGAGTGCTTCAAACGCACTTAGGATTTTTCTCACGGCATTACCTTGCGACCACACGGCAGTACTACTTCCATTTCCCACAGCAACAACTAACGCCCAGGGAAATTACAACCAAAATTTGTCAGAAGGTTATTTGACAAAATCTGTAAGCCTCTTTCAAATCCCCCTTCCATGGGCTACGGTGGGGGAGCACTGGAGTTCAAGAGTGTCACGCTGCCTTCAGATCTAGCATCACCGGCCCCGGTGCCCAGAGCTGCTGGGAACACCAGCCCTGGGGAACCGCTGCAGCTCGGGGATGGAGCACACTAATATGCGTGGCAGGAATCACACCCTGCGGTCCGAGCAGTACCAAACCCTGTTTGGAGGCGAAACAGGAAGAATATTCTGAGAATTCAGGTACCAATCCCAAATACACACGCTCAGAGCATTTTTAAGCTAAGGCTTTTGAGAACCCCATACATCAGTCAATGCTGGGTAAATTTTAATAGCCAAACAAAACTACACCTCTTGTACCACATCTCTCCTTTATCAAACTGAGAAGCTTTAAAATGTCTTAAGGTGGGAAGTGCTGGACAATCTTGGTTGTATATGTGGTTAAATTTCAGCTTATTCGGTGCTAAAAGAAAGCTTGTATGCCATAGAATTATATCATAGCACTTCTCTTTCTGCAAACATGATTTTCAAATTCCAGAGTGGGAATAATTTCAAATACATAGACTGAACAGATGGGGAACAGTAAGGGAATCAAAAAATCCTCCCCTGTGTTGCTTAATTCCATTTGAAATTGAGCTAGCACTGTCCTCAGCAATCTGGGTGACCTGAAAACGGGAGTACAATTATTTCAGTTTCCTGCTTCATTTACACCTCACAGGTTTCTTCTCCTTTAGCTCTTGCATACCACATCCCAACTGATCTTCAATCCAGGAATAGTGTAAATATAGAAAAGATACTAATTTTCAGCTTATGAGGAGATTTGTGCTGTGCACAATCTTCTAAGAAAAAAAGAATACCCCATAATTAAGTTACCTGTCACATAGCTCTTCTGTACACAAGGAGACCTTTTTTGCTGTCAGAGGAGCAAGGTCAGGAGACCTTTTATGCTGTCAGTTCACTGCAAATACTTAGTTCAACACTAACTGGAGCAGATGAAGAGGAGGCACTCTTTTAAATAAATGCATTAAAATGTAAATGGGGTGAGTTTTGAAATTAAAACACGGCAAACAGATCGGTCAAAATGCCTAGCAAACACGGGAGCTGCCCAGTGTCCTCTCCGCAGTGCTGGCAATGGGAGCTGCTGTCCAGGCAGAGCCCAGGGCTGCTGTGCTGGGGCTGAACGGACCTCTGGGGCCCGCTCTTGTGCTCCTCCAGCATCTGCACTGGGGCACAGAGATCACCCCACCTATTACTCCTAATGTTTTTATTTTTACACACATTATAGTCTATATTCTACTGTTAACACTGCTATTTAGGATATATGATTAATCGTACTACCATATATCGCTATTAAGATATATGTGCATACAATAAATTATACAGTGCTATGGCAGACAGTCACCTGCTCGTCTCTGTATGTGTGCAACTTAAACAGGGGCTTCTGAAGATCAAACTCTTCTTCGGTTCCGATGCCCATCCGAGCTTTAGATGCCACTGTATCTGCCGCGACTCTAGCTGGATCCAGTTTTGCAACAATGGCAACCTAAAATACATGATATGAAAATAACAATCACTCTGTGTAGACCTAAGGTAAGAAAAGGTTATTATCAATAACGTCCCTCGAGAACACGCTTATTTACCTGGTTTAAAATTTTCAAAAGTTGCCTTAAATCACCTTGTATCCATATGAAAAAGTTATAAAGCTCAAAACTTGAACCCAGAGTAAAATCACTTTGACAGAGAATAATAATCAGGGAGATTTTTTTCCTGTTTCCCAATAGAGACAATTTACTCGGCTGTAAACACAGCACCGTGCCTGCCCAGAGCTGCAGCGGAGACCTGCCTGCCACGCGGCTGGGCGGGGCCGGCGGCGGGGCGCGGCGGGGCGCGGCTGGGCGCGACTGGGCGGGGCGGGCGGCTGGGTGTGGCTGGGTGGGGCGCGGCTGGGCGGGGCCGGCGGCGGGGCGCGGCTGGGCGGGGCGCGGCTGGGCGGGGCCGGCGGCGGGGCGCGGCTGGGCGGGGCCGGCGGCGGGGCGGGGCCGCGAGCGGCACCACGGCACCCCACGGGCGGGCACGAGCTCGGGCGCCCAGCGCCAGTCAGCGAAGGCACCAGCAGAGTCGCCGGTTGGCAGTGCCCGCAGCCCCTGGCAGCCGAAACTTTCCGCCTTTTCTTCTGCTGGAAGCAAAGGTGTTCACATCAGTGGTTGGCAATTTTTGCAGAGTCACGGGCAACAGCATCGGGTGTTGCCACAAACAGCCTAACTCTGTGGGTTTTTTCTTAAGTGCATCTCTTTTAACTGTTCAATTTCTTGTGGCTAGATCAGAATCAAAGACTCTCTCAGACGCAATATTGTGCAAGAGTCAACCTCTTCTCATTGCGTATTTTCTCTGTGTTAAAACATTCAGACATAGGCTAATACTGCTTTGGAAAATACAGAAATATGCATGAGCAAAATAACCAAAGTCAGAGCACCATCTGAATGGCTAAAAAGAGTAAAAAAATATTTAAAATTGTGTATGATAATTTTTTTTTTTTCATCTCTTTAATAAAATGTCACCTTTGTATTTACAGGCTGTCAAAATACACAGACTGGGTGACTTCAGTAGAGATCTTGCTTTTCCCCCACATACAACCAAGGGGCATATTTTACGAAGCTGTATTTCATTAGTGTCAAACAGACAATAAATACTGGTTAGAAAAACGTAATGAAGTGGGAACTCTACCATCCTGGTCAAAGGCCATCCTAGGAGCATTTTCAACTTTGGTAAGAGAATTGGGTCAGTCAGAAGGGATCAACAGATCATGACTCTCAACCAGCCTCTTGTAAAATCTGACACAAAAGACAATGCAATTCAACAGTAACTTAGAAAAGACATAAGACAGTTAATATTAAAATTGCACTGACAACCTAAAATAACACTGTTAATACTGCAAAATATGTCATTGAATCAGATTATTAAAAATAAAGCACTATTGACTGGAAATGAGCCTGAGCGCTACAGTTGGTTTTGTTTTTTTTTTTTAAAAAAAAAAAAAAGTGAAATAACAGACCAATGATCCTTTAATACAAAAAAAAATAAACAGGTTTGTTTTTTTCCTTTTGTGCTCAGCTCTCCCACAGAAGATTTGGCCTCTGTTCTTTTCTTCTTTCCTCTTGACTTTGTACACCCAAATGCTGACGTGAAAGCACTTACAAGGCCACAAACAGTCCACGAGGGACTAAGGAAGAATTTCACGGGCACGCACGCTGTGCTGGGATGGTTAATCCTGAGGCCAAAGGACCTGCTGAACGTGAGGTCAAGGCTGCATCAAATACCGTAGTTTTAAACACAGGTACTCCCGGGGAGAAAGCTGCTGCATTAGTGCTGTTTAAATTGTTGGAACTCAAAAGGGTTTGAAGAGCACATTTCTCCCCCTCTTATTATCCCCTGGCTGTGCATTTAGGCTGCAGTTCTTGCAGTGTAAAGAATGCGAACTCCAGATTTTTCCTTTTAATCTCTGGAGTTAAACCCAAGGAAATTAGATACAAAAATATAAATGAAGGTAAAAGTACTCCTTCAAAAGTCAGCAGTAATAAAAAAAATAACACTACACTTACTGTGACAAACATTACCAAGCATGTTCCAGGATGTCCTTTTTAAAATAATGTGCAAAAGTTCCACAGAGAGTTAAATCTTTCTCTGAAGAAAAGTCATCCAAGGTCTGTAAGTTTTCAGAATTTAAAAAGAATTTAAATGACTCATAAATCTTGCCTAAGACTCAAGGCAGACTTAAGATTAAAAAAAAAAAAAAAAAAAGAAAAAGAGAAATCATATCCAACCCCAGAAAAAAATAGTATCTACCTATTTTCAGATATCAACCGCTTCTGCAGTGCGACTTAACATCATAATGTTCCTGATGTCAGAGTTACAAAGCACACAGGATTTATAACACGTCTGACTTGAACAGTAATTCTGTCCAAAAGCACATTTTAACTTCTTCATTTATTTGCTTTTGATAGATTGTTCTTTTTATCTTTCACATAATATGACAGTATGTGTTTGTATCATTACTGTATATGAAAACACTATATAGCGGAAATAAACCCACCTGCTGTCGGAGTGCTTCAAGGCATTTCGCTTTTTCCTCTTCTTCACGTGCTTCTTGAAGGGCCAGTTCCTTTTTCTCCAGCAACCGTTTTTCTAGTAATGCTTGTCTGAATTTTACCCTGCAAAACAGCATACATACCAATGGAAAAAATATTGGTCAAGTTAATTTTAAATTTCTGTTATGATACTTCTGTTTGAAAATTAGTCTGATATTTTCTATATACACCTAATAATAATACGAATGTTCAACAAAACACCTGCAAAACGCAAAAAAATGCTTTTTCATTTGAATGTGTGATTTTTGTTGGGAGTTTTTTGGTTTGGGGAGCTGTATTTTTTATTTGTTTTGGGGGGGTTGGTTTGTTTGTTTATTTAAAACAACTTGGCTAACATTTCAGATTTCATTTCTAGACAGCAGATTTTCTCTAGCATGCTTTATATAGCCCTGCTACTCCTTTTTTTTTTTTTTTTTCCCCCATTTTCTTTGCCAAGAAGAAATGTTCTCTGACATCTGTGTCTGGCAGAAGAACTCTTTCCTACAACCCTTTCCATTAAAAGAAACACATCACTCCCAATCTCATTACTGGAAGAAACAAGAAAACTTGAGGATTATGTCCTCCTTCAAAAGGGAAAAACTGGAGGTTAGCACAGATAATCCTGAAACTTTACATACGGCATTATATTTGCTGGTCAACTTTTCACAATGGGTTTTTACAGCCCTGATAGTCCTACCATGGCCATATTTCCTAATAACCCGTGTAGGGTATTCTTTGGTGCGTCACTTTCAGTCCTTACATAGGAGTTGCCACTGCCATGCTTTGCATTCAGATAATTATCCTTCTTTTGCCCTTCGAATTTTAATTTGCTTTTAGAGAAAGGAAGAGAGAGCTGCTTCAACTATAATAAAACATGTATTTTTATTTTCTTACTCTCAAAATTTTAGTAAGCTCAAAGGACTATATAACTTGTGCTATACACTGCAAAAAGTCAGAACTAAACGCACAGTTATGTTGGTAGCTAGAAAAGACCACCGCATCAATAATCCAGTAACAATTATCAAACAAATTTGTGCCGAGAGAGCGGCCCAGAGCTGCCTGAGGATGCCCCAGAGAGCCTTTCTGTTGCTCACCGCGGCCACTGCAGTTTAGGCAGATGAATGCTTACAACAGTAATCTTCAGTGGCAATTTTGTTCCAGTGAGAAAGCCTAATCTTTTCATATGAAGAAAATGTAATAACAAGCAGATATTAATATTTTTCTGAAAAATTACAAAAATTATACTGACAACCTTTCACTCTGCTTGAGCTGCCTGCTATGATATATGCCCTAAAATATTCCAGTGTTATCAAATATGAAATTCTGTACCCTGGAACTTCTGTAGATTACCAGGAAGGAAAACTGAGGGGCACTCGCCCAGGTCTCTTTTCAAACACTTTGTCTCTGCTGCAGAAGATTTCTCGGCCGTGGGAACGTGAGGCATTGCTAAATGGAAACGGAGTGGGGCAGAGCAAGGACCTGGCGTCCTGGTGCGGCACTTGTCGCTCCTGAGAGCAGCGTCCCACGATCCCACCACTGAGTTATCCCAAGGAGGTCACCACCTTGCTCACGCTGGAGAGACCAAGGCCACAATTAACGAGGACCGAGTTTCACTGTCAGAGGGCAATGGCAGAGCCATGAAAGCTACACTGAGGGAAGGCAGAGAATCTTGTAAATACACGTTCGACCGTACACTGCGTTCCTAGTTTGGAACGTTCTTCCCACACTTTTTATACTTGGCTTTCAATGTTTACTTAAGCTTTGATTTCAGTGTCCACATCCAAATAAAGTTGCTAATTCTCTTTTACTCTATTATACTCAGTATTGTTTAAGCCACCATTTCTTCAAAGTAAACTTAATTTTACAGAAAAGCTTAAAATTAAAATGTCTTAATACTCAATTTTGGCTTTAAGTAACACAATAAGTACCAATTTTAATAAACCGCCAGCTGAAAAATGAGCTTAGCCGATTAGTTTCAGTAAAGCTACCTTTCTGAAGTATTGCGGGTCCATACTTATGTCATTTTTGCTAAGCGTAATCTCATTAACACTCTGCTTTCAGACACTGTCTCATAAATATGCAACAGGAAATAATGAACGACTACGTTTATTACGAAAGCTTTAGCAAAGCTTTAAAAACTTGGCTCCTAACGCAGGTGGTTTCCGCCCGGTACCCCAGCTTTTCCCCCGCTCCCCGCGGCCGGCTGAGCCGCCCGCCCGGCAACAGGCGGCAGCGCCACCCGAGCGGCCGGGGGGCCGCGCGCTCCCGCCCGGGATTCTCCCCGTCCCTCCGGCGTGGAGCACGGGCCGGGGAGAGCGGGGACCCTGCGTGGGCGAGGGAGGAGAGGGGAGAGGCTGCCGCAGGCGCTCCCGGCGAGGAACCGCTGCCGAGGGCGCGAGGGAAGCGACGGTGCCGTCCACGCGCACCTTGTCCCCCGGGACGTGATGCCAAACGGAGCCAAACAGCTGCCGTTGCCGTGTTCCGCGGGGCTACTCGGACCGAATTCCCGCAGAGAGCACCCTTTCCCCCCGAGCCCCCCGCCCTTCGGACCCAGGGCCACGACCGGCAGCAGTACCGGTGCTGCGTAAAGCGCTCCCTAATGTTTCCCACCCGCCGCCCCACCGGAGAACAGGACGGTGCCAATCTATTTCTCATAGATAGCGAGTGAAAATGTTGGCACAATTTCACGCCTATTTAACTCTCACCCTGCAACATTAACGCAAAACCTATGGCTTTGGGGGGAGAATGTCCTTTTAGAATATTTGATGTATATTCAATCCATTTCATACCTAAGGGACTCAGTGGAGGCCCTGACTGAAATTCACTGCACGGATTAACAAAAGGGAGAAGTGAACTGTTAGCAACAAACACCTGCCCTTTTGGATGCTAATTCTTGAAGTAGAATAAGACCTAAATGCAGTTTGCAGTTCTTGATGTCACATTAAAAGAGAGCATATAATTCAGTGTCCCAAAGACACAGGCATGTTGACCTAAGGCATTTAGAATGGCTGAGCGTGGGATCCTTCCTCCGCGCACACAGGACCAGCTGCGGGAGCTGCACCCGCTGCTCACGTCTCTGCTTGCAGTGGGCCACATGCAGACAGGTCTTGCCAACACTCACTTCTCACCCCCGAAGCAGTCCCACCAGCTACCCCAGTTTAACGGGGTTAAGCTCTGCTGAATGCCAGCAGGGAGAACGCACACCATTTATCTAGTACCTGCTCTGCTTCTGGAGCATTTCTCTCTCCGGAACTGTCACCTACTAAACCTTCAACTTTTATTAAAAAAAGGATCAGAACTCTCTGCTTTCCTTTTCAACCATGGCCAGCCCAGACCTTTCACGATACACACCAGTAAGCAGAGCTCTTGCCCAGTTTTAGTCTCGGGCTGTTAGCCTGAAGGAGTTCAGATCTGCATCATCTGCATTATCAGCAAGCATCACCACCAGTGAGAATATACAACAGCCTAGGTAAGGGCACCTTCACCCCTGTTCTAACAGCTGAACCGCTATCAGCAAACAATACAAAATGCATGGGAGCAGAATCAAGCAAAAAAAGGAGTATGACTTTGTCCTGGTTTGGGCTGAAATAGAGTTAACATTCCTTTTCAGGGACTAGATGAGCACTGTGTTTTGGATGTAGCTTTGGGTTTGGTATGGGAAAAATGCTGATAGCACACTGATGTTTTCAGCTGCTACGAGACTCCAAGGACTCTCTGACTGCCCATGTCCTGCCCGTGCGCCAGGGCACAGGGAGCAGGGAGGGGGCACGGCCACAGCACCTGACCCAAACTGGCCAGGGAAATATTCCATATCATGGCACGTCATGCTCACTGTATAGAGGAGGGGGGGTGGGAAGGAGCTCGCTCTCTCTCTCGATTCCAGGATTGCGATTGCAGGACCTTGGTATCTCGGGGTCGCTGGCCGGGAACGGGCTGGGGGTTGGTCAGCGGGTGGGGAGCAATTACGCTGTACATTGCCTGGTTATATATTTCTTTTTGTTTTTCCCCCATCATCGTTATTGTTCTTGTTTTATTGCCATTATTAAACTGTTCCTATCTCAGCCTGCGAGTCCCCCTTCCCTCCTCTAATCCCCTGCCCCATTCCCAGGTGGGGAGGGGAAGGGGGGGGATGGGCTGTGGTGGTTGGTTGCTGACCAGGCTCAAACCACAACAGACTTTTTGCTTACTTGTGAGGGCATTTGACAGGACCTGGGCAGACCTAGGTTCTTACCCCAGGCCTCATGATTTTTTTAAACACTATTTTACAGATTTTGTATGAAATGACTGTTGAATAAAAAACTAATTAAAGAATAGCTGTTGTACTTGGAACAGAAATCACAGCACAACCCTCTTCCCCTCTCATGTTTCTGAGCGCAGATAGCATTGCTCATTAGGCTCCTGTGTTGAACTTGCTGTTCTGGCCATTGTTTACTTGATCAACACCTACGGGAACTTACACAAACTTCAACCCACTGGGGTTTAGGCAAGTGCTGGGCAGCCAGCTGCTCCAAAGAGAACCAATCTGAGACACATACACAACAGAAAACGGCAGCTACCTAGGAACCCCCAGGCCAAAAAATAAAATGTCCAATCAATTAAATGTCTCCACTGTCAGACAGTCACTGAGCAGAGGGGTTGTAGAAGGAAATTTGGATTTAGTCACTTGGAATTCTACATCCAGTTTCAGATGCCTTTAATCCTTTTCTTTGATCTGGTCATAGCTCTGGCTATTCAGCATCTTGCAGTTATGAGACCTGAATAAATAGAGCACCACATTGACTCCTGAATAATAATTTTATTTTTTATAAACCTGATTACTTAACTTTAAATTCATTTTAAAAACAATTCAGGATAACAGCAGACCATTTTAAAATATCTTATTGTATTTACAAGAAACTTTATGCACTACCCAAGCCATATCTTGTACTTGGAATAGTCAGTCAGCTCACAATCCAAAAATCTTTTCCTTTCCCAAAAAAGCCTGAAAACATGTCAGATCACAGCTGTGGTACTGACCTGTGACATCTTTCATTATTAGTTCTGCAAAGACTCAAAACCAATTTATGTGCTGCAACAGGTGAGACATGTAAGAACACTGTTAGTTCCTGCAGGAGTGCAGTTCTGCGCTGTGAAATCACTGTGGCAGCGTGTCTGCCTTAGTTCAGTAGCACAGAGGTTTTAAAATGTCTTACACCATATTGGTAGCACTACAGTACCTAATAACAGTAACACCTCTCTGCTCTTCTTTGATTAATATTTCTGAAGGCTTGGAAGATGAAAAGCATTAAGTACTTCCAAAGAATTGTTAGTCTCCACAAACAGTAAGCATTTTTCTTTAAATTGTTTTGTTTTATATGGTACGCCAATTCTGGCAAACACAATGCTAAGCATTTAACAACTTTTGATTCATAATAGCCCAAAGGTGTGATTATTTCATTCCTGCATTCCTCAATGAACTATGCCATTTCCATGTATTTTATTCTGCAAAGTTTATTAGCATAAGAAAAGAACATTCTCCAACTGTATGGCATAGTGCACTACACAGGTTTAAAGAGAAGTCATTTTTTCCTCATCAGTCCTGCTGAAAACTCAAGTATGTGTCTTTCTTTTGCTATGAGCTAAGATCATTGTAGGCGTGTTTAAGGACACATATAGATATATTTGTAGCATAAGGATACAGACATTTAAATTTAGTTGTCAGCAAGCTCTCATAACAAAATAAGATCAAAGTAGCATCTCCCACAGAATGCTTAAAGGCAAGTTTAATATTCTAATGCCAATGGTACTTTAACCTTATTTACTTACATTTATGGTCCATGCAATTTGGTGGCTCCCTCTATGTAAAAAAGGTAAGCCTGTGATCTGAGAGCAGATATAACCAGACAACATACTGCTTTTTTTACACTCTTCTGTGATAGAAGAATCATTCTGTGAAATCAAGTATTTCTCCAACAGGTCATTAAAGGCCATATTCTGCAATGAGGACTTGGCAAGGATTCAAATGTTAACAGGCTGAAGTCCTAAATTATGTCAAACAGGTGAAGAGCATCTCCAACTAGATGTGCAGTTTATGACCCTCTAAAAGAATAATAAATATCTTTGAGGCTGTTAAGTGCTTAATGTGATCCTCTCACTTGCCTCTCAAACAAAACAAATCTGATTATAAATAATTTTGCGAAGTGGGAATGTAGAAGGTCTTATTACTCACCTACAATTTAAAAATCACAAAGGGAGCTGGTTTTAATGTGTGTACCCTATCATGATTACAACAGTTCAGTGCTTACAAACGTCTAAGACTTTGATGGATATGAATTAGTTCAAACTAACAAATAAATTGCATCCAGTATACTGCCAAATAGGAAGAAAAACAAATATTACTTATCTCAATTTATTCTAATTTAGAAAGTTGGGAGATCAAAGCAAATTAGATTATAAGAAGTTCTTACTGATACTATAGATATTCACATTTAATTTTTTACCTTTCTCTGTCTTTAACGGCTTGTTCAGCCATTAATTTTCTTAATTCCTCCAGACATCGTAGATCTTTCTCTTCCTGTTCTTGCCACTTGAGTTGTTTCTCAGCCCAGTACTTTTTTACCTAAAGTTTGAACAAATACAGTAAACAAAATAACAATCATTCACAAGCCAGAGAAGTAAGAACAAATAAAGTAAGAAAAGTATTAAGTTAAAAAAAAACAAAACAAAACAAAACAATTTTGATCTTCTTAGAGTAAAATTTATATTTTAGAACAGTAAGGTCTAACAAAAGATTTACTGGGAGAACAAGAGGGTGTGGAGCCCCCACAACAAAATAGTACAATCAGACTGCGGACACTAGTTTGAATATGATTTTCAACTGCAAACTAAAGACTACCGCTTTCATTTGCTCCTTGCTTTCCTCCTCTGCCATCAAACCTTCAACTGTGCTGCCCAAGCGAGCGAACGTTCGTCGAGTTATAATGTCCTAGGTTAGCTCTAACGGCTGGATGCGCGTCAGCCCAGCTCAATTTGGCTGAGGTGGAGAGCCCACTGAGGAATGGGGAGGGGAATCTGAATGGTCCTCGTGTAAGGATGAACCTTTTCCAAAGCTGAGCGAGAAAGAAAAGCCTCAAGCAAGATGGTGAAACCTGAGCAGGGAGGCTTATCTGGAAAGATGAGGGGTTTTGGATGCAAAATGAGGAATTGGGATGTAAAGTAAATATTGCTGAAGTGAAACTATGAATTCTTCATTTGAATAAATTCTATGGGATTCCATTCCTAAAACCAGGGCATTTCTTCAAAGACAACTGGTGGAATTTGCAGCAAGCTTATAATACCCACCTTGACATGACAGACGCTACAAATCACACAAACATTTAGGTTGGAAAAGACGCTTAAGATCATCAAGTCCACCCGTTAACCTAACATTGCCAAGTCCACCGCTAACCCACGTCCCTAAGTGCCACGTCCACACATCTCAAATCCCTCCAGAGCTGGTGACTCCACCACTTCCCTGGGCAGCCCATTCCGATGCCCGACCACCCTTTTGGTGAATTAATTTTTCCTAATATCCAATCTAAATCTCCCCTGGTGCAACTCGAGACCGCTCCCTCTTGTCCTATCGCTTGTTACTGGGGAGCAGAGACCGACCCCCGGCTCCTGCAGGGAGGCTGGGCTCTCCCCCCAGCCTCCTTCCTTCTCCCCAGCCTCACCCCCCAGGTCCCTCAGCCGCTGCTCGCAGCACTTGTGCTCCAGACCCTTCACCACTTCTCTGCCCCTCTCTGTTCACACCCCAGCACCTCGAGGTCTTTCCTGCAGTGAGGGGCCCAAAGCCGAACCCAGCATTGGCGCTGCAGGCCCACCAGTGCCGAGTACGGGGGGGCGATGCCCTGGTCCTGCTGGCCACACTACTGTTGACACGAGCCAGGGTGCTGTTGGCCGCCTTGGCCACCTGGGCACGCTGCTAGCTCATGTTCAGATGGCAATCGACCAACACCTTAATGCTACCTTAAGAAGAAAACTGCTGCAGCGGTACACTTCCCAAAGTTTCAAATGGTGACTCACAGCTAACCTCACAAGCCACCAACTTGCTCGGAAAGCTGATAGAGCAGGTTTTCTTAGACACAGGAACAAGAATCACTTTCTCATCTTGGAAGTGCTGACTTCAAGACTTTTTTTTTTAATGCAATTTTCAAGAACATCTGAATTACACTGAAGTTTAGGAGCATGATTCCAACACTGCATTCTCAAGCTAGCGTTAGGGGAACCCGTTCAGGTACTGGTCACAAATGCTGGAGCCACTACAATGTGATGTTTGTAGGGATCTCAGGAGGTCACGTAACCCACATAGTATGATCAGCATCAATTAAATCATTCCCATCTAGGTTAGACGTCCCTGAAATACAAATGTATTTACTTTTCTTCTGAGAAAATATTACCATTAATTTTCACCAAGTCCCAACTGCTCCTAATAAGTGATCAGGTAGGTATAAAGTACAAGATCTGTAATATGGCACAAGGTCCGCAGGGACTGCAGCACAGACCAGTCTCTAGCCCTTTTAGGAACCAGTGGCTGCAGGCGGTATTCGAGCTGATGAGGGCACGCAGCAACTTTCACGAAGGCCAGGAAACCACCCTCTGGGGACCAGAAAGGCCAGCGAGCCACGGATGGCACAGCCAAACGAGCGCGACGGCCCCAACTGGAGTGCCCCCGGCCGAGGGGGCACCTCCTGCCCCCCCGTGACACAGCAGCTCAGTGCTCAGCAGCGGGCCAAAGCAGACACGTTTGATTTGCCTTTCAGGACACGGTACAAAAAGAATAGGAAAAAAACAGAAAATATGTTTATAGTCCCACGTGCAGTTCTGATCCCTCCGTCTCTGAAATGAGCCTCTTCATATGGAAAGAGAAAGAAGAGAAACAGTAATGATCAAAGGTCCTTTGTGTTTGCATTGAGTTTTCATACAGGCACTGAAGGAACGGGATGGGGCTGTTCAGATGGAGAAGTGACAATTTATGGGGGATTTGAGAAAAAGCTTACAAATTCATGAGTGTCATGAAGAGGCTGGAGGGGTGGGTACTGCCTCTCCAACAGGAGAACTGGGAGGCTTCAGCTGGCACCAGCAAGGACCAGGTTGGGAATAAAGAGGAGAGACAGGTCTCCATGCAGCAGCTGGAAGGCGGGTAGGTGCAGGGAATTCACGTGTTTTGGAAAGACCAGGCAACTGCCCAAAGAGAGCCCCTGGGGAGGGGTTACTAAATTGACAAACCCCATCAATCAGCATTGGGGAAGAGCCGAAGACAGGGAAAGTAGCTGTGAGGGAGGGAAATTATTGTATGTGTTTCCTCTATTGTTACAGCCACTGCTGGAGACAAAAGACAGGGCTGGGCAGGTCCTGTCCTGGCCCTTCTCCCACCACCCCGAGGACCTCAGCTGCTTACTGCAGAACTCAGCCTTAGGGGCTAGGGCCTGCTCCGTCTCATGGCCTGGTGAAAACCACGCGTTCTTTGGAAGAGTAAGTGATACAAAATGTGTGCAGATGATGATTGTTAATACAGACAGAAAAAACAAAGAGGAGAAGACTGTCGTGGTTTGAGCCCAGAGGTCAACTGAGCACCATGCAGCAGGTCACTCACCCCTTGCCCCTCAGGAATGGGAAGGAGAAAATGAAGCAAAAGGCTCAGGAATCGAGATGAGGACAGGGAGGGATGACTCACCCATTACGGTCACGGGCAAAAGACAGACTTGTTAGGGGAAGAAAAAGAACATCAATTTAATTCATACACTAACAACAACAACAGCACTTAACAGACAGAGTAGGACAGTGAGAAGTATAACCACATCTTGGAAACACCTCCCTCCACCCCTTCCTTCTTCCTGGGCTCAGCTTTGCTCCCGATTTCTCTACCTCCTCCCCCAGCGGCACAGGGGGTTCAGTCAGTGCTGCTGCTTCTTTCTTCTCAGGGGTAAGAAAAATCACATGTAAGATTTTTTTTAATAAGCACTAATAGGCAAAATCTATATTGGGATAAAAAGCCCTTTAGTTCACCTAATTTCAGCAACTAATTTTCAGGAAGTGTTTAGACATCTGTAGATAGGGAACTGTATGAACTTAAGTTCAAAGACAGAGGAATGTATTTAGGGCAGTACGTTCCTTCCTATTATGTTAATAATATAAAACAGTTCAACCTACGTAAGGTGGTTGGATATGAGTATCATCTCTCAACTCAGTCGACGAAAGGTATCAGTTATGCTTATTGGCATCATGACTGTCCAGCCATTTCTTGTGTCCTTTTGCCTATGGAAAACCCCAGCACACCTCGCTATAAGACTTCCTGTATTTCCTGATATTGCAGCCTCTTGCCCAAACTGAAGATAAATTGACCTATCCCGCCTGTTCCAGTTATTAACACACAACAGCAACACCACCAACACACAATAATACAACCTGTATTACATGTCATCTCCAACAGGTGTCATATATTTTCTTTTCTGCATTATACCAGGTACTCTGCTATCCCAACAAAAAGAGTTAGGATGACATGCAAGGGTTAGCGCTCTTGCACTTTCTCTTTGTTGTACTTCTCACTTCTCTCATTTCCACTCTTCCTTTTTTCCACTCCGCGTGCAGACATCAGAAGAGAAAGACAAGCCTGGAGCCAGAAATAATGACATACCCTGATGTATGTACCTCCAAATCAGAAACCAAAAGAATAGCCAGAGAACGGCATGGTGCTTCATAGCACCTCAGGGCTGACTGCAAAACCCCGTAATTCCTTAGACCTAGCAGACTTCTTGGCAATTGCTACGACAAATAGAAAGAGAAAAGGTACAAAATTCACTCAAAATTATTGCTTCCACCAAAACAAAGATAGTATTTACCTTGAAAATCAAGACTGAGTTTTGAAAAGACTGTTTATGATGACAGAAGTGTATGACAATGCTGACACTTGTAATTCTCTGACAAAACAGCATTATCTTCCTAAAATTTAAAATACAGATGGGAAAATAGAGAATAGAAGCTTTAGAAAAAGATGCAAAAATCTAAGAAAATCTTAAGAATTTTAATAATATAGTAAAATATTAGTTATAAAGTGAATTATAAAAGCAACTGAAATTATACCTCAATAATCTGTTGATTTTACAACTAAATGCATAAAGTTCCTGTGAAGGTTTGAGACCTTACCCCACCTCGCAAAATACAGGCAATTTCTTACAATGAAATTTACTTACAGAATCATCTCACATAGGAAAACCTTCATAAAATGGCAATAAAAATAACTTCTATATCATCCACGGAACGATATTGAATTTAAGCCTCTTTTGGAGATTTCAGTTGAAATGGCAGTCAAAATACTATCCTCTTTATATGATCGACTTTGTGCAGATAAACCTTTAACTATCATGATTCAGAATAAAACAGGTCTTCCAAACAGTGCTTATATTTCAGAATTCCCAACCTATAAGCCAATAATTTCTTTATATAGGCTATTTTTTACACATGAAGTACATGTAAACAAGGACAGCTATAACCATATTTCTTATAATGCTTTTGTTTAGTATTGCTTGGAGTACTTATGCCTATGAAAGAAAATGCTCTCTTTTGCAATTATTCCCCTTTCTCTAGCCCGCATGGCCTGAAGGCTTTCTTATAAGCTCTACTTAGGGGTCGGTGGATATTTCTGAAATTCCGTATTTCAGTCAATAGGAAAAAATCCAGTCTGCAGTCCAATAGAGCAAACACAGCATTGGTATTTCAGATTTCACATCATTTTACCCATTCTCCGGCCTGACATACCTGACACGCCCTGCCCTGGTGACCAAGTAGGCAGAGAGTGGGCATTTCTTCTACAGTGATCACGGGTATTTTCCATATTCTTGCTGCGACGGAACGTTCACCAGAAAAGCAGGGGCAGCGTGAGGTCGGCAGCCCCCGGGGAGGCTCCCCGCCGTCACGCCCCTGGCCCCAAGCAGCCGGGCGCGGGCAGGGCACCGCTCTGGAGGGACATGGCACACCGCCCGCGGGAAAGGGCGAAGTTGGCGCAACCCAGATGTTTACACATCAAATGGACATTGCTGGTGGCTGGGTCAACACGGCCTCAGCGAGCCCCTTCGCTACCGCGTGGCTTCAGAGCCACCCGCCACCGTAAGCGGGCGTGGGCGAGGACAAACAGGCAGAACGGCCTGTGACAGAACGAAAAGCAGCGGGGGAGCTTCCCAGCGCCAGAGCAGCAAGCGGCCATGAGATACGGGCAGCCCCTCTCGGCACCCCCGTTTCCAGGGCGGGTGGAGAGACCACGGCATCTCACAGCCACACGCTCCGGCTGAGACACCTTACACATCACCCATACCAGGCAAGATTTCATCACTTCTCACTCTGAAAACTCTTATTTATATAGGAGACGAATGCAGACACCAAATGTAGATGTTCTGCCTTAATTTGTTATTTGATAACTTTAAATCCAGTATATAAGAACAGTAACAACGTATCAGTCGGGAACAAACATCAGGAAACATATGTCAGTGTGAAAAAAAAAGAAATCACATATACAATAAAGTTTTGAAAGACAATGCACATACACAAAATCTTGAAAAATTCCCATGTCTTTTTATAGACATTCACATCTAAAAAGTTCACCGACAGTATCTACAGTAAGCCCATTAAAGGCAAAGTTAAAACCGATACCAATTTAAACTGAGTCAGGATTTCTCTGAAAGTGCATGGTTTGCAAACACATAAATACGTTTTTCTCAAGTTTTGAACCTGAAATGACAGTCTCAAGTATTAGCGATAAATTTAAGGATAAATAAAACAAGTTAAAATAAGGATAAAACCATGAGTTACCTGGTCAGACCTCCTAACTGAGCAGGAGAGTGGACTAGAGACCACTTGAGGTCCCCTCCAATCTGAATTTTTCCAATTCCTATGAAAATTTCTGATTCCTATGAAAAGTGAGAGTATTCTGTGTATTTTCAAGGAAAGAGAAACATCTTCTGAAACTGACTTTAGCTGCTGTTTTGCTAACTAAATGATTTAGCATAGTTTAGCAGAAAGATTGTGCTCTGCCAAGAATGTGTATTTCATCTTTAAGAGAAATTGCAGAAAAACAATGAAATCAGATGACCAATGTAAGTAAAGACTTCTGCAGCTAGAGAAGAAACCGGATACAGGCAATATTCAAAAGCAGTCATGACCAAGAAGAATGAACTCACAACTACAATAAAATAAATATGAAATTAGGCAGCTTTTCACACGTTGGCTCTGGGCACCTGCAGCAATGAGGAATAATGGGGCGGCAACAGCCTCAGCTGCTTCAGCAGCTCCCGCCCCTGTTCTCCAGGTCGCGCTTTCAGTCAAACGCCTCTTCGCAGAACTGTTGATAAAACCAAACTCAACAGCTATGGAAACTACCACCAGGAACTCAACAAGCTGCAGGAGCTTCTGCTCCTGACCTCTTTGACAAGGCACAAAGACACATTTCTTTGGAGAAAACAAGGAAAATACATTTAAGTGCTCTAAAAACAGGGAAATTGTGAGTAGTGTGTGATTTAATTTTCATTCTTCTGCTAAGGCAATCGGTTTCACCTGCCTGCAAGTCATTTATTTTGCTCTGCTATAATTTCTTTTCTGCTTTTAGTAAGTGTTGTAAATTGTTTTAGTAACAACTTAATCATATTGCTGTAAGCATGGATAGTTTTGTGTTGGTTTTTTTTGTTGTTGTTGTTGTGTTTTGTTTTGTTTTTTGTTTGTTTGTTTGTTTTTCCCCTGCAAGGAATATCACTGCAATAGTCACCTCTACTGACATAGGAATCCATCCAATTCTAGGGTGTCTAACTGGCCATGTTGTAGTCTCATCAGTAAACATTTGCTCCCAGTAAATTAATTTACACAGAAACTTGGCAGATAAAGATGAGAAGGTAAAATCTAGTAAGAAAACATAACATATATACAGATTTTTTTTTTTTTTCCTTTCTTCCTTCGCACAAGCTTTCTGTAGTGTGACACATACTGATGTCACTAGAGCCTTCATATGCACCATGAAAACAGTCTATCTGGAACAGTTTAGCCTTGTTATCCAAAGTCTGCTTTTAACTGGCATGTTATAACATCACAGCTTTTACTGACCCGTCTTGCAAACGTGTCAGCACGAGCAGTCCCGTGAGAGAGACTGTTGACTGTTTACTCATTGGCATTTGAAAGACAAAGCAATAAGAATCTATGGCATTCTCTGACTTACTTTTTTCCAGAAATAATTATGCCACAGAAACAAATATGCCACAGGTGAATTGGACTCTAAGCATGCTAGATTTCAGTGTAAAAAATAATCATAAAAAGAGGTGAACTTCTGATAAAGCAACTTCTTGGATTCTTGCCATATCGTTTCAATAAAAAGGTCAACACAAATACATCTGTGACAGCTTGATTTTCTAAAAGCATTACATTCACTATAGTGAATTTCTGGTTTTCTATTAAGCTGAAGTTTAGACTTTTGTATCAAAGCCTTCTCCCAAGCTTTCACCACATAAGTACTTAGAATAATGCAACCTAGACTTCCAATATCCTGAAATGGTTAACAGTACCGTTGTGCTTCAGGCCCACTTCTGAGGTCCTGTGCCGCCAAGTGCAGTGCGCTATCTCACGGACAATACACTGCAAGGCTCATTTGCTGCATTGCAGCACACTTAGCTGCAGCTCTGGAAGCTCTCATAGTCTTTCCCACATCGCTAAAAAGCACAAATCTGTAAGAGTAAGAAACCCAGTACTGCCTTTGTGCTGATTTTTTGTGACAGAGAGAGAGTCACATACACTTATTTATGTTTGCTTTTTTGTTTTTTTTTTTAAGAAACGTAATGAAGTGACATAACTGGTGTGTAAGAGCAGGCAGCTTTAAAGCTAAAGTGAACAGTAACAAGACTCAAATAACCATTTAGTCGTCTCTATACTAATACTTAATAGTTTACCAGAATACAAGATAGAGATGAGTTAAATATTTTAAAGGCAACTGTACATATTAACATATGCAAAAATGTAGAAAAGTTTTTCATACTTTCTCTTTCTCCTGAGCTCTATGAATCATTTCCTGCTCTTTCTGCAGCCTTTCTTTCTCATCTTCCTTCTCTTTTCTTCTGGCAGCTACAGCAGCTTCTAGTTTAGCAGCCTCTTCCTGCTGTACTTTCCACTGTAGAACCTGGAAGAAACAGTTGAGAAGACAGTCCTGCATCAGACTTGTATAATACTGTGATTCTGCCAAACTGAGACTGGGAAGGAAACCCATGTAATCCATTTACAAACTGAGATTTATTATCTTATCAGCAATACATGATCATTTCGTAAGCATCACCTTTCTGCATGTTAATGTGCATTTGACAACTAACTGACTGGCATAATACGCAGTAATATCACATATGAAGAGATGTTAGGCAAAATTGCCAAAACCATCTTGGTAACATCAGATCTCACATTGCCTCTCGGCGCTTAGGCCCTAGATAACACATACAGCTCTTAATGAACCTGCGAAGGAGGTCCCAGGCAGCCGCTACGACCCATGGAGCGGTTCTAAGCCATACAAGAATAAGAATACCATCGAGTGGGCAAAGAAATCCATAGCAGCTCCACATCCTACAGCAAGACACTTCCAAGGAATGGTCAGCAGAATAATGTGTATCACACATTAATGAAAAAAGTCAATTACAATTTCAAACTATCCATCTAAACAGAAATATGGAACAATAAAATCAGAACAAGGATTACATGAGATGACCGTACTAGCAGCTAAAAGACTTCTAGAGGGAAGGTGTCAGTTCCTTTAAGACCCTGTTTTCTGGAGCTTAGCTGCAAAACCTGAATGAAACCTCACCCCCACTGTGAAACTTGTACCACAAGGTCTTTGTCTAAATAGAAGGTTTTATTTATCAATTTTGACAGCAGTCTGCTTGTGCATTTTAGAGGTTTAAGACTCTAAAAACAAATGCTACATTGTTTCAGTTAACCCTCACTTGCTACACTAATAAACTTAAAAAGGAATGTTTTGAAAATAAATGTGGAAGAACATGTAATCATTTCTACCTCTCTTTTGAAACAAACTGAAGCAAACACATACACATGAAAAGCTTTAAAATCCAACAACAAACAAATGAACAAAATCTGCTTAAAGTCTACTCAGATTGGAGCCAGAATGAACTGCAGATGCATTTGAAGGAACTTTAAACTTCTGTAATAACATCACTGAGATTTTCTGAACTGAAATGAGGTAACAGTCAAACCACGTAACAAAAAATTGGTCTTTTTAAGCTTGCATTTTCCTACGTCCTGCATCATCCCCTTTCAAATTCTCCTCAATAATGGTATGGATGCCAACGTAAGTGGACTCACAACATGATGCAGCTTCAGTTTCCTCCAAGTCTGAGAACCCTCTTGATTCTTTACTGGTGTTCTCTAGATACTAATTTACCTATTAACCAGGGGTCTATCTTAGCTATTTGATTGCAGCTGCCAGTTATCATGGTGAGTCCATTAAATTGGGCTCAATAAAAGTTGCAGTTAACCAGTACTGCAGGGGAAGCACTGACTGGATATGGATGTTGAGAATAGAACTGGCCCAGCAGAGTCTCAAGACAACAGCTGTTCAAAAAGAGGCAAAAAAATAATAAAGCAGGAGGTAGATACTAATCTAGACTAAAATCACCTCAAGCCTCCTTATTCACTCATTTTGACCAGCAGTTGTTTGCACAGTGTATGCTCCACACCCATCTCACGACCGGCCATAATCACTTTCCCTGGTTATTTTCACATGGCTTTTCTGTTTAAGCCATTTGATTCAAGTCAGAAATCCATATTGGGGCACAATCTAGACTTTCATCAGGTTTCAAACAAACAAGTGAGCATAACCAGGCATCAAATATATAACTTCATTCAGCTGACAAAACATTAATCATGCAATGAGTTTCCCTGGACAAAACTGATAAGCCAGTAGTTCGGTGCATATCTCCTACCTTCTACAATGCTATCTACACTAACCTAAATCACCACTAATCACACCTATTTTCACTCAGTGGATAGAATCTGCTTTCCATGTTTATCTAGTTAGTTCTTTTGAATTCACGAGTCCATTGCCAATCAAGAAAATGGGTAATAATAATGAGAGAAGGAAGGAAAGTTTCACTGTATTATACTTTCCCACAATACCCATTTATTCTTTTCTGTAGGCAGCATATGAAATTAGTTTACATTATCCCTTCCCATTCCACATATATCTAATCCATGTCTTTTCATTAAGGCAAAAGAGGATTCACTTCCTTTAAAAAAAAATGATTCATAACTGCAACAAAAAAAGGAAAAATTGGTAAAAACCAGAAAAGCACTGTTTGCAAAATATTTATAAAATGGAATTCAGGAAGTTGGCATTAGGCCACGTCTTCCCCACATGAAGAGCTAAAGTTATCTAGGATACAATATTCTCAGCAGAGCTGGGCTAAATGAAGGTGTTTTATTATGTAAGAAATACCAAAATTTAGGAATTAAGCAGCTGATTCAAATTGTCAATATATTTCACTTTTTAAACCACATTTGAACATCTCTGCTAGAGAGTAGTTCCAGTGCCACAGCCAAACTGATTCCACAGTCCAGCCTTCCTATAAAGGGGATCTTCTCATGGGAGAACCCTCCACCGAAGGTGGCAGGGGCCAGAATAAAAAGATTCCCAAACCTGTTCCCTGTCCATACTGTCACAGATTCAGAAGTTAGGAGCTAGACTATCTTAACTCATGGCAACAAAGGATACAGCAGACTGCCTCGCACAGACACCCCGCCTGCATCTGTATTTACCTTGCAAGCTATGCTTCCCTGTGAGCTTGTGAAGACGGGGCGCTGTGGGAACCCAATCCCACGGGAGAGCCACTGGGCACTGCTGCAGAACAAACCACAGCGGGCAGGCGGTGAAAGCAGCAGAACAGTTGAGGAAACTCCGGGCCATGTGTTTCCATACTTCTAATATTTTGCTGTTTAAAGTGACTATCTGATGTTGGATTTCCAGCACTCCTACAATTTAAGCTTTTCAAAAAAACCCACTGTGTCCATCAGGTTTCTCCTCCAGATGTAGGATCATGCAGATGTGAAAAAAAAAAAAAAAAAAAAAAATCCTGAACTCTAATTCTGATTCACTAAGGCCTAATTCACTAATCTGAGACCACAGGATGCACAAAAAAAAAAATGTGTTCTTGATTGCATTCTTTCATTCCTACAACTGGAAAATCAGAAGGGTAGAGTTTACTGTGTCAACAGTACATGTTCTGTTTAAATATTTAAAAAATCCTAGTAGCTAAACTAACATTGAAAATACACTAAAAACTGGATCCCCTATTGCCTGTTTCACAATGAAGCTTACGTTTTAGCAGTACAAGCACTGCCAAATTAAGTTCTGAAAGTTTTTAATTACAACTGGCATTTCAAGTACATTTCACAGTTCATGTATTATTAGTGGTGCTTTTGCCAAGTGAATTATTAAATTGCTGTGCTGAACAGAATGCATACATACCTATTTTCAGTTCATTATTTCAATATTGCGTATTACAATAATGTAAAGTACACTACAAAGTAATTAAAGTAATAAATTAGTTCTTTCACTCTAACATCTGAATAGTAATAATGTATTTACCACGTACTTAATGCTACAGATACATCTCTCTTAATGACAGAACAATATTTGAGAGACTTCCCTTGGGAATCCCCATTAAATTAGCACATGGTAACACAGCACCATGTAAAGTTTTCTCTTTAAGCACCACTGACTTAGGTTCTAAATAGATCTTGAAGCTGCCTAGGGTGACACAAGGCAGTAGGCACCAAGCTCCTTCTAGCAGCTCAGCCGCACAGCTGGGTACATGGGAGCACAGGACGACTGACTGGTGCAGGGAGAGTCTGCACGGCAAAGGCCATGCAGGGAGCAAAGCCAGTCTTTGAAATCCGAGGCAAAAATGCACTACAAACCAAAAGGACGTGAAATAACTGGGAGGAAGAGTGTCACAAAATGACTACAGAGCTCCAGATCGGTATTCTCATAGGCTACACCGTGCTACACGGATAAAGAAAGCTGCTAGAATCTACATTCTAAGCAAGAATTCCCAATAATTGTGTAATAAATTCAGTACTGTTTGCCATAAATAAAGTCATAAAAAGAAAATCCTCTGACATCCCCACCATGATTCTCTCTAGCTCACTTTCAACCTTATAAAATGATCCAATCCCAATATACTTTCAGAATCTCCCAGAACTTTAATAATCTCTGAAACATTCTTGCGCATTTTTCCTTATTTCTATTATGGTTTACAGGTTTTTTTCTTCCTCAAACTGTTCACAATTGATTCTAAGAACGCCTGGGAAAAAAATTTTAGAGGGTCTCTTCAAGAAAAATAACTTCACAAATGAAGATGCTACGTAGGAAAAGAAGTACCACAAAATTTGAATGAGTAAGCTGAGGAAGCCTGCAACAGAACGCTATTCCAGCACGGGGTGAAAGAACCAGCGCTTTCATGATGGCGTCACCATGCAACTGAAAGCACTAGCAGCTGCAGCAATCAAGGCTGCACCGTCAGAAATGTTGAAATGTGATTACAAGATGACTAGCAATTCAAATACCCTTTAAAGGAATTCAGTATAAAAAAAATCCTAAGCATAAATGAAGGAATCACAGAACGCATCTACATACATTTGTCCCACAGCCCTCACTGGTGGTTCTGCAAAGTGGGTAGGAAATCCCAGCAAGTAACAGCCATGAAGCGTTACTTCATGTTTCACAGTTGGGGCAGCACGGGCACTACCTGAGCTTAGTCTTCTATCGTGCATGTCATCCGGGCCAAAAACTGGCATAAGTAGCAAAAAAATTCCTATTGTGTGGTAAAGCCCCATGTTAGACTACATAAGGTACCCTTGAAAACAGAGAACAAGTTCAGCAGCGTTTCGGCTTGTCCAGGTAGAGCCCAAGTAGTCGTTCAGAACCATGAAAAAAGCTCTGGAAAGGATGAGTGCCAAATCACACGGGCACCTGCATCGCTCCCTTTCCCCAGGACCGTTCACGCTACAGCCCTCGAGGTCGCCTAAGGCTTTCCTGCAGCTGCTTACACTGTGCTCATGGGAAGCTCCAAAGGAAGAGGAAGCTTGGAACCAGGAGTCCAAAAGCACAGCTCAGACAAC